TTTACATACGTGTGCGATATGATGTGTCCAGGGGGAAGGAAAAGGGTGTTTTTCTGGGTGGCAATAAAAATGTCGCTGATTTGACAATGTTCTTTATGTTCAGAAAGTCGCCCGAAAAGCTTTCAACGCCCCAGTTCTTCCCCCATCCGTCCGCCCGTGAAAGGTGGCTCAACTCATTATGCAGTAATTTAAAATGACTTGGAGCTGTTCGCAGGGTAGGAAAGAACCTTGGGTATCGCCTTAAAGGGTTGAACAAATGCTTCCTGTTTCCCCCTTTAAATATTTAATATTTTTTCATTAGCAATGAAATCAAATCCCTGCAGTAGTTCTGAATTTACTCAGCCATAAAACATCCAAAGTAGGCCATTAATCTTTATCTTTATAAGGCACTAAAAGAAAGGCAGGGAGGAAAAAGAGGATTCGGACGTGATCTTGATAGTATTGATAGGATTCAGAAATCCTTCTTATTCTTTTCATGACTTTTACATAATTCTGTTAATAATTAAACATGTATAGGATAAAAGTGAACCTATCTATGCACATATTTAAGCCATCTCTAATCTAGGACGGCCCATTAGTTCTAGCCAGTTGCCTACTCAGTCCATTCTCTTAATCCCCAAACTCATGAAAACTTAATAATGATTTTTGATAATAAAATCCCTACCTTTAGCCCATAGTTTTCACCCAAATCGACCGATGACCAACTGTTGCATGGAGTTTGGCATGGTTGATTGCCAATCTGTGGCAATTATTTCATCCCTGGGAACGCCAACTCCCCTATTATCGCTTTCGCATTGTTTATGCGTCAATGGGAAAACGAGTAAACAAACATGGCTATAAATAAGCGGCTAATAAGGATAATTGCCTGCTTTACAAATTGTCCAAAAGCAAGGGGGAAACAAGAAGGGAAGAGGACTCAGGACTCTCAGGATAAGAAAGCAGGCACACACAGAGGCAGATAGAAAACAGCACATCTACAAGTCAAAATAGTAATAAATTGCTGGAGAAAATTGCGTGGAGCGTTGGGAGAAAAAGCCGAGCCGCAAAACCGGAACATATGGACAAGGATGCCGAGGAGGTCCTTTGAATTTTATGTATATGTATGTGTATGTGTGCAAAAAGCGCGAGGCTTGGTGGGGTAGCTGAGGACAGACATCCTTATTTATGGTCGTGCGGTGCGGCAAATTAATAATGCGACTTTTCTCATTTGTTTGCCGTTTCGTCTCTGGCTCTTGTCCTTCTATGTAAATGGGACTTTGTGGCAGGAACTGCATTTAACCCACAGCTGGGAGTCCTGTATGTGTATAAATAACAAAAAAAAAGCCCACAAAAAAATAGAAACAGAAACAATTTGCAATGTAAATGCTGACGATAATGTGGTTCCCGAAGCCTATAATGATGTTGATGAGGTGGACAAAGTCAAGTCAGCTGGCTTCCTTTTTGCCACATTTGGCCTCATATGGCTCCGAGGTTTTCCTTTTGCCCCAAAATGCTAATGAGCCAAAGAATTCTCCTACTATCTCTCACTCTCTCTCTCTCTTAGACTTTTCCTTTGAGTTTTCCTTCGACCTTCCTTGAAAGTGTCGCCCCTTCGGGCAGTTGGAAAATTTATGGCACACTTCCTGTCGCTCAGTTTGTTTTTCCTGCTCCCCTTCAATTACATGCAATTCCTTCTGGCTTTTTATTGCATCCCGCATCGATCCGTCGCAGAATGTGGCTTGTGATTAACGGCTGCTATTCGCCCAAGTCCTTCGTCCTGACAAGCCGACATCCTTCTCTTCAAGCCTTCCTTCCAGCCTGCTGTCCTGCGCAACATTCTTGGCCCCAAACTATCGCTCTTTAACTCATCTTTTATTTACACCAGTGCCGAGACAAACCCGCAACGGCGACGCATTGGCGCCCCCTTTCAACATCGGGCCAAATTACACCAACAAACAACATGGTACGGGGCATGTCAAGAGGCAGCAACTACAGCAACAACAACACCAAATTACAACAATTAAACAGGGGAAACCGTAGCGAAGGCACAAGTACACATACATATATATACACCCGTTTATATGTGCAAATGACAAGGGCGACACTGCAGCTCTATTAAATCTACACTGATAAAAAACTTTCCCCAGAAAAAAGCACACGCTCTGTTGCACATAAGAAAATTGCATTCAAGACATGAAACTTTCCCGCATTTTCTCATCTTAATTGGCTATCTTGAAAAGTTTCTATCTGTAATCTCAACTGCAAATTTAATACAATTGTTTTCGCCAGCAAATCTTCTGTTTTTGTGTATGACTTCTTTCTACCCTTTCTCCATGCGAGTTCTATATGCGCTTTTAATTATTGCCATGAGATGGTATTGTCGCTTCACTTTTATTATTCTCTTGTTATTTGCAATGTTTTCCTTGGAGCATGTGGGGACACACACGGTCCGCCCGCCCTGCCTTAACTTGGCTTCGACGCCCACATTAACAGCTACATTGAACACTGGCAAGTGACAGCTTTTAATTAAATAATTGACTAGGCTCTGACTATCTCTCGGTGTTCATTTGTTTTGGGTCTCTCATTCAGCTTTCATCTGTCAGATCAGTGAGACAAAAAGGCAGGCAAACAAGATGTGGATGTCGAGTCCTTCAGATAGACATGTTTATGATGCTGGCTAAAGCGACTGACAGACAAGAGTTCATTGAAACTTTTTGACTGCTGGCTGGGTGACTTTTGTGGCTGAGAGATGTTTGGGAGAAAAACCAAACAGAGGAACATATAAGTAGATATAAACAGATAAATGGACAAAAACTATAATAAACAGCATTAGTTATGCGGGTCGCTAAACTTTGCTCCCAGAAACCAATAATAAATGTGGGCGGATCTAGATAAATGGCCAGAACGTTCGCTTTCGTTCGTACATCGTTCTCCAATGCAAATAAATTTTAAATTTATTCCATAAAAGGAGTGCTCTGAACTCGAAATGTCTCTATTCTTTCTTGCCAGGGGTTATCCACCCTCTATTGACCGCAAAGATAAGACGGATTTCCCGATTTATGATGCCACAAACGAAAATTGCAACGCAAAATGTTCTCTACCCGGTCATAATATCTTTTTTTGTTCATTGCCCCAAGCATTGGCATTGATTTCAGGCGAACATCTTTCGTTAATTGAGTCGTAAATGCGGTGTTATTGATACCTCATTAGGCAGGCTGATAAACGCGGCGAATACGCGATATTCTCGCTTCTTAAAGACCCAACAAGACTTTAAGCAGGGCTCCAAAGTGCTTGAACCAGATTATGTAAGTCCTGTCAGCTGCTCCTGACATTTGCCTCTCGATTTTGTACCATTCAATGGAGTGGACAACCCGGCGGCAGCAGCAACAACAATAATAATAATAATAACCTCAACCGCAAAAGGACAAAAGGGCAGGCAATTGGGTTTTCCTCCCAACGCGGGGGCATTCTTAAGCCACAACAAAAACAATTTTATATATATGTATATGTACATAAAAGCTTAATTAAAATTTTATGATTATCATTTGGAATTCATCTGTTTACCTTGCCGGGGTTAGAGTTTAATAAGGGAAAACAATCTCCAACCGAAAACAAATCGCCTTTGTTTGTTGATTAAAGTCTATGAGCCACAGTAAAGGTTTTTTTCCTTATATAGATTCTAAATTAAATCATACAGAAGATGGCCCTTTGTGAACTTACCTAACTATGTGAATTATCCACAACACTTTAAAAATGTATGCAAACCACATAAAGTTGCCTGCAAAACTAAGGGCAGAAATGTTACATTTCTATTACAGCCAGACAGAACATTATAATGAAAGTAACTCATAGCTCCTAGCAGACGCTCAGCTCATCTTGCTATATTCCAAGACTGGATAATATTTCTCCGCTTATTAAACGAAGGCCCCATTTGTTTGCTTTTTAATTAGGCGGCTAATGATGATAGAAGCTCCCCTTTTCGCTTTCAGCAAATAATCCTTATTTAGCAGCAACGACCTGCAACATTCCCAAAAGGCGGCACGTATTGCAAGTGTCTTTTTAGCCAAGTCAAATCAAGTCGAGTGAAACGCTTATGCCACGTGCCAAGAGTAGAAAGAGTTTCCATTCCCTGAAGGCACATGTCGCCTTAAAAGTGTCGCCATTCCGCTTTATTTGTCGAACGTGACAAGCCAACGGCTCGGAAACGTAGAGATATATATTTAAAATCTGTATAAATATATGTTTATATAAATACATTTTTTGGCTGGGCCACACACGAAGCCCTAAAACGATTTAGCCAAACTTGAAACGATGGCATCGGTGTTGTGCTAAAACAAATGGTTCCTCGAAACACAAACAATAATAGTAATGGAGAACAGGGAAAACGGCAAGCCATATGGCATTGATGGATTTTTGATAAATGGACTGGCATTATGACAAATATGCAAAAAAAAAACGAATGACAAACTGACCAACCGAAGAGCCATACAAAAGGCGATAAAATCCGAATCAAATAACGCCAAACAATGTCAGTCAAAACGAGTGGAGTGGCGGGGCAATAGGGGGGACAGCCAGCAGACAAGCGAGGCAAATAATTGACAGCAGCAGGAAAAAAGTGCAATTAGAGTCAGGGCTGTACACTGTACAAAAAACATAAAACAAAAAAAAAAAACATATATAAAATAACATTTTTTGCATTGAAAAATCGCATAAAACTCCCAGCAAGTTAACTGAAAATGAAAAAGTGTCATCAAAAATATTCGTCATTGCGAGATAAGAATTGAAAACAAAAGCCGATTTATGGACTTTATATATAAATAGAAAATAAATACAAATATTTTATAGCTCTTTTGTTTTGGTTGAGTAAACTCTTATTTTATTTACTGTACTTTCACTTAAATTGAATTATTTTGAATGGCTGTTGAACGCACAACACTGCGTATGCGCAATTGTTTTGTCTGATTTCACATTTACTATTCAATTTTCATTTGTGCAACTGATTCAAATTTAATTTCGCCCAGAAAGACATCATAAAATTCCATAACGAAAGGATAATGTGCTTTAAAGTGAATTTTAATAGTGAAATATTGTTATAAAGTTCTCAATCAAAATACAAATACATCTGGCGTACGTCGACAAGGCAAATTTTATCCCACGGTTTCGTAAAATGCATTTCGAGTCACAATAACACTTCCACCGATTTACACCCCGAATTGCGTTGATCTGAATCTTTAAAAATGGGCGATACTCTAGACGAAACGCCGCCCGCGCGACGCGACAAACCGCAGACATTGAACATTGGTCATGAGGAGGAGGGTATCGCCTCCGCATCCGCTACCACACCCTCATCCTCCATCGTTATACCCGCTTCCCGAATACCACGGAATCGGCTACGTCACGCGGATCGGGATCAGATACGTGATCACTCGAGCGACGGTCTGGTTTCGAGTGGCGAACGCCGGGACGAATTTATGGGCCTCGATGCCCAGCCGCGTCGCGAGAGTTTGAATAGTTGTGAAGCCGGCAGTCCAATGGCCATGTCCTCCAGTCCTGGCAAGGCGGGAAGGCTCAACAGTTCCAGGTACCCGTCCGGCGCCACTGGCGGCGGCATCGGCGTCAGTGTCCTGGGTGGTCTGGTTGGCACCACCACCCGCAAGTGCGTCCTGACGCTGGACGGGTACTCCTATGTCATAGGTAAGTGACTGTCAGTCGATCTTAAAGCAATTCGAGACTCCTCCAGTATCAAGTACAATAGAAGGTCAAACTAAAGAAGCTTTGAAAGTAATCCAGAGAAACTCTGTTGGTGGTTTGGTAATAAAAGGAAATAAGGAAAATACTTCACTCTGATTCTTACATACAAATAGAAGTAATGGTTACCTTAGGCTTTAAGGTCTCAAACTTATCTATACTGCACTAAAATGAATCTACTTTTAAAGTCTTAAATAAGTTGAACAAGAGTTTGGCTGCCTTTATTAATAAACCACAACCAATGTGCATTGGGAGTCACCTTGGGAATGGCCTTTGTTGCCGGCTTTGGCCTGGCCTCACCTGAACTCCGTTAACAATAAGGAGAACAAAAGGCGAAGGAGTCTAGTTTAAATTTCGTGCAATTCATTTTTCTTCTTGAAACTCATAAAATAATACGTGAATATACGGGTGTGTAACTTATTTTTCTATCATTTCATTGCAGGTAAGTCAATTCAAATGGCAACACAAAAAAGCAAAAAGGCTCCACAAAAAGCAGCAGATTGAAGGTAATTCTCTGCAGAGCAGGTAGGTTCGTGGCTCGTTGCAGCATTAAATTGAAAATGAAATTGAATTTCCAACGAGTTGGGCTATTATAAAAGTTATCTCCCCAACTCTATAGAAACCAACCGGGTAGCAACAATTCATTTAGGATTCTGGTTCGCCCCACCAGGGGTTGAGGTAAAAATTTATGAGAAACTTTTTATGCCCTCTGCATATGCCACGCAGATTTTTCCTGGCCACCATCGCTTAGATGCGTATATACAAGGGGTGGACATTTAAAAGTCTATTGCCAGGTAAACAAGGCTCGGGCCTCGTTCCGTTTTGAGTGGCAGCCATTCTGGCCAAGTTTGATAACCGCCTTCTGTTGGCCATATACGAATACGTTGTGTTTTCCATTTCCTCTGCATCGCTCTTTTTGGCTTAGTTTACATGGCTGACGGTCAGTTGTTGTTTTGGCTAATAAACTGCCCGGTACCACAATGTAAAGTCAAGAGGGTGTCCATGTGGGTTTACCTTTCCCTTTCCATTTTCCTTTGCCTGTGCCCTCGTGTGTCCATTTGGGATTAAAATTCATGAATTGTATTTCAGAGAAAACGAATTGGCCAGCTACCTGGCGATGGAGTGCATCTGGTATTCTGCAAAGTACGCATGCAATTTCGGATTTCCTTTCTTGGCAACTTGGGAAAAATGCTTGGTTGTGAAAGGCATTTTATAGATGTCAGTTTTAATTTAAAATTGGTTATTATATTTGTTTTTCGAGCATATGAAGAGGATTGACTGCAGGAAGAAAATTGTGGTTATTTTGGGAAATGGATGGCAATTTTCATTAATAAAACTTTATAATTCGAAATGTATAATGCAAACTGATTAATATATGATATATATCTTTACGATTTCAAAATATACCATACTAAATCCGAGTGTCAAATAAATTAATTAAAGCCTTAATCCTTACTATACTTTTCAAATCCTTTCATACTTTAAATCCTTTGCGCCTTTTACCAATCCCATTCATTTTCCTTTCTCACCGAAATAGTCGGCAGACAAAAATTAAACATTGGCCCAGAATACTATAGCCAATTCTTTTGGCCCAAGGTCAGGTCCGTGGCGCACAGCCCCTTTGAGTTCTCGAATGTCCTGGCATGTCCTGGGGTGGCTCGTTTGCCCGGTCACGTAGCGGCCACAAATCGTGCGGCGATTTTGAGACAAAGCCAGGCCACGACGAGCTTGAACCCCTAGTCCCAAAAGCCACGCCCCCCGATTCCGAATCCGATTCCGGAGCCTTTTGGTTTTTTTTTCGCCTTTTTAGCCAAGTCGCCGAGGCGGCCGCCTGTCCTTTTGGCTTTCAATTTATGGGCGCTGCAATATTTTGCAAATATCCGTAGCATATCCTGCGGCGACAGCGCAGACAGAATTGCAATAAATAGTCAGGAGTTTGTCCTGTGTGTGTATGTGTGCTTGGCGGATTGAGCAAGTGTTTGGCTGGAAGTGTCCTTCAATTGACATATTACACTTGTTGTTGTCCTGGCCGCGGCTGTTTTGTCTTTCGCCCTTTCACTGGTTATGGCCCTCGATTTGTTTGGTCCTTCTCGGGATTGGGGCGTGCCTGACATGGTGGGGGAGATGGATGGTCGTGAGAACGGGTCTTGTATTGTTCTTGTCTGCTCCAAGGCACCGCTTGGCTGATCAAGCATTCACCCGACAAGTTCGACCCATAGGCAGAAGTCTAATTGATGTGCCGCCAGACAGCAGATGGTCCCATTCCTTATATTTCTAATTTTTCTCTCCCAAAAAACCCTTACCCTTGCGAGGAAAAGGGTTAAGTGGCTCATTTAGTTTGTGGCTCAACGGGTTTTCGTTAGGGAATTGGCTAATTTTGGAAAATGAGTTTGATGTAATGGAATTTAACAAGGACAAAGGAAGCAGCAAGGGGAGCCATACCCTAATGAAGATCGATTAAGAAAATTTGGGTGTACGAAAGCTCAAAGGAGAGTTACAGGATTTAAATTTAAAAATTGAATAATATTCTTATACATTCAATTTTAAAGGACTTGAGAACTGACAAAAAGGAAAAGCAAACTTTTACAAAGAAAACCACTCCATAGTAGAGTAACCCAAATTAATGCTTGACTCCCTGAAGTTCTCGCCACTTTAGGGAATGATCCCTGAACGAATCTTCCAATCGTGAATTACCAGAATCCGTGGCATATTCTCAGGCGCGGCATTGGAAGACCACATTGCTGGGATGCCTTGACCTGCCAGAGCTTCGTACTTCAGCCTTTCTGGCCAAAAGCGACAAGGAAATTTAATCAAATTTGCATAAATTCCGCTCGAACACAAAACGCTCAAAAATTCTCCGAATGCTAAGGAATGCGACAAAGGCAAAGTCAGCCGAACAACGCACATACGACCATAAAGTTTTATTGTCATGTGAGAGAGGGGAGGCTTCATTGAATTTTTTCCTTTCGCCTTGGCCAGAAGCATACTTTAAAGGATAATATATGCAGCTCTGGCTCTGTCCTTTTCGGCATCCTCCTGTGCTTTCTGTTTTCTTTTTATGGCAATGGCCTCTCAATTGGCAATCAATTTGCCTTAGTCTCTGCGGGCCAACTTTTTCTTTCAAGTGTCAGCGACAGCCATAATAATAAAAGAGAAAAAAGGCTTAAAATCAATTTTCGTTAAACCCTTCGGTGAGCACACAGACAAAGGCAGACATAAAAATGATTACCAATGGCCCGAGTTCGGGAAATTTTTTAATTAAAAACAGTTAAAAGCGGCGCCAACGACTGTCTGTGAAATGCATGTAGCCGACAGACTCGAACACAAAAAAAATTACATAAAATAAGGCAAAGTCCAAAATGGCTGCTGCCAAGAGCAGAAACACACGCGCGGAAAGGATGCCCGCAAGGATGGCACTTCTGGCATCAAGGTGCACAGCCTCCTGTCAGAGCTTTTCCAACATGTTTGCTACAATTTGGCTAACTAACACAAAGGCTTAAACACACACAGGCACACTCGTTTGTGTGGGTGTGTCTGTGTTTGTCCTCCTTGTTTGCCTCCCGCTCAAATGTCAGAGAACAAAAGCCAGACAGAGCGACGTCGTTGTCCTGGCAATTCGACAAGGTGTTTTCGCCATAATTTGCAACTCAATTTCGCTCAGATTTTTTGGGCCACTTTCCAGTTAGACGCTCTGAAGTTTGCCCAGCACAAATGTTTCACTAAGTAAACTTAAATGTAATTTAAACTTTTTAAGTACTACTCAGCATGCTGCAAATTACAGTCGCTAGATAACTTTTTAGAGGTTTCAGCTTGCTCCCTTTGATTGAAGTTTTGGGCACGAAGTTGCAAATGTTTTTAATAAAGTTATTTGTAAAGAAAATGTTATTTTAAGATCATCTTTAGATCTTAAGTTTTCAAAGGATAAACCAAAACAGACATCATGTATCTCGGAACACATTTCCTGGCTCAACTGAGCTACAGTTCCCAAGTCAATCGTTCACTCATGGAGGTCCTTGTTGTCCTTGGCAGCCTTTCGCTCTGGTTAATTTGCAGGCACTTTGCTGTAATTTCATTGGCATATCCGGTTCCTGGTGTGCTGGTGTTTCTGTTGCCAAGGCTTCTGTCATTGGCCCAACTAGTCAGCTTCGGCGGATGCCTTCTGTTTCGAGGCATCAATGCGTTAAATTCGCTGTGAAGGCTGCCAACAGAGAAGGTCCTTGCAAATCGCGAAACTATTTGAAAGCGGCAACAAATTGAATAAGAACGATTGTTGACACTTTTCCATTCACTGCTGAACTCACTCACTTCAAAATTTTCCCAAGCAAGGATAATTTATCAACTTTGCGAGTGTTCAAGTGCAGCTGCAGACAAAAAACCCTTCGCTTTCCGTTCGGTGAACGGATTTGTAAAGTGATATAGAGGGATGCAGTTTCTGTCGCAGGATAACACTTACATTTATTTGCCTTTTGCCATGGCAGAGTGTCAAACGCTTAGCAGGAAGATAAGTGGTCTCACAGGCACTGAAACGAGGAAAATCTGAGATATTTAGTAGGGCAGGAGGGTAAACATGAAGAAGAAGAGGAAGTCCTGTGGATAAATATTGTCAGCCTTTCGTTAAACAATTGAGTTGAGTTGCTGAAAGGTCTTTTTTTCGTTTGTTTAATAATTTAATTACTACCAATTTTATGTTCTTGTTAAAGTACTGCCTTTATTTATTTCTATCCCGTAAAACTTTTTAATATTTACAAATAATAACATTAAAAGCTTAATCCCAATCACAACAATCTCTCGGATATCGATTCCCCACCGTAGTCCCTTCCAAACCCCAAAAAAATCCATCTATCACCCCCCCCCCCAAGCTTTTCTCGCCATTTGACAGACTCACTGGTAGAGGAAATTAAATTTGCAAATCCCATTGGCCACATTCAGGAGTCGTTATTCTCGGCCAACTGTTAATGACATTTAAGCTGATATTCGTTTTATTAATTAATTAATCAATCAATCAATCAATCAGTAAGCAAGCACACACACACACACGCATAGCCAGAGCTTGGGGAATAGCGAAAATCAATCAAAACCGATGCTGATTGAAATTCACTTTGGTCCATTTGTGACGCCACAAGTTGTAGCACAACAAACCCACCAGAACCACATTGGCCGACTTGATGATCTGCTTAACCAATTTGCGACGTTGTTCGCTAAAAACAAGAACAATTTCATAATAACTGGGCTTAAAAGTTGTCTAAAACAGTAATTTTAAGGACAAACTCACCTCATTATCGTTGTGCTGCGTTCTCTTAAAACAATTCCGCCTCCAGGGGGCAGATTAAATCCGAAAGCCTCGGCCAGAATGCTGTCGCTGAATTATTTAAATAGTTTATATTTAATACTTCAACAGATTCCGGAGCAGACAGGGAGAAAAGAAAAACGGAATAAAGCTCAGCGGGGCATATAGACAGAAATATATATATTCTTAATCCGTTGAGAGGCCTCTGTTCGTCGTGGCGTATTGGCAATGAAATGTTTAAACTTCTGTGAATCGGTTAAGCCTCCAGTCATTTTTAATTTACTTTTGCGGAACTGAAAGTGGACTTATGGCTTAAAGCTTTTTAGTTTTTATTGAGTAATTTTATTTTAAACTGCTGTCATCTTAAAAGCTGATAGGATTTTAATATTGTTAAGATTTTCCTGCACTTTTAAGTTATTATACAAACATTTTTTCTTTCTTGGGCTACTGATATATTCGTTAAAGTCAGTCAAGTAGAAACTTGCTTCAAAATTTTCTTAGATTTCCTCAAAATTTCCATCACTTCCACAACAACTATTCCAACTATTAACTTCATATCCAAACAACTGCCATTTGTTGGTAAAATGTTTGTTCTGGTGGAAGACCAATCAAAAGTTTCCAACAAGTTTGCGATAGTTGCCGTTTGCCAGCATTTAATTTAATTCATTTATTAAGGGAAATTTAAAAACTTGTTCATGGGATTTTATATTATAAACCAGGCTTGGCGACATTTCCGAAATGGAGGAAGGAATCTCTACCACTTCCATAAATCTTTCTGGGTTCGTGGGTGTGTTCTCCGTCCATACATGAAAAATTACAATGGCCAATCGCCCAAGTTCTGGGCAAGTTGCCAGGAACAGGCGACAATGTGGCCACTTTTTCCGGCCAGGATCCGACCCGGCCCGTGACCCATACTCCCCCCTTGCCATCATTACCGCTGGACAGCGTTAAATTCAATCTATCCGAGTCGAACGAACAAGAAAATTGCACACACACACACACTGGCCCGTCCTCTATGGTCATTAATTTTCCCCCATTCTGTATTCAATCGCGTGACATTTTGAACTGGAAAAGCAATTAAAGAGCAAAGTTTGCCGCCATCAGCTGGTAATTCCTCTAATCCCATTTCCGGCTAGACGAGCCGACAGACGAGACCCTCGCGGGCGGCCAGGGACAATGCACTTGCGGCGAGGGATTGACTGCAGGAGGAGTACAGAAAGAAAAGGGTATAAGGAAATACAGAAGTAAGTGAAGTCTGCTATTAGAAATATGTTTTTTTTTTCGGTGTAAAACAGGAAATGAATGTCCAGTAATCGAAGGGGCCAAACTTACCCAGGTCGGTAATTTGAATTCACTCCAGAAACTTCAACAACCAGTTTCTGGGGCCGGTTGATAAACTCCGTGAGATTCACCAACTGTTCCTTGTCGCTCACATTAATGATGGTAATTATCGACTCAAAATTGGGGTAGGACCTGCGAAATTACTTTGAAAGCAATTAAAGTGGCCATTGAACAGATTTCGGTCACCCACCGTTTGAAGGCAAACACCCAACGCGAAATGGGCTCGATGTTGAAGCGACCCAAACGCATTATGGCCGATTTTCTCAGTTCAAGTAGGTCCTTGTAGACCTGGTAATGGCTTTTGTTGGCTGCCTTCTGGGCCTCCAAGTTGAGTTCGAGATAGTTGGGATGGACGGGTAGCCAGGTTTTGAGGGCACTTGAAAAGCCTTTTGAAAGTAAAGGAAAATTGAAAATGATCTCTACTCAAATATAAAAAGTAACCTACCAGCATTTGTTTCGTTACTCCACTGGAAGGGTGTACGCACTGGATCCCGAGAAACTTCCTTGTAGAACTCCTCTCCCACATTCCTGGCAGGCGGATCCACCGTATCCTGCCAACTTATTTCCCGGTAGTCTACCATGCCCAGTTCTTCGCCCTGGTCAGTAAAAGAGATTAAAACCAAAAGCCAACCAAACCATTCAAGGCCAGAAAACTCACATTATAAGTGACGGCAACACCAGGAAGTGTGAGCAGTAGCATGTTCATGGCGTCCACGCTGTCGGGACCAAACCGAGAGGCAACCCGGGGGTTGTCGTGGTTGCCCATGACCCAGTTGGCGGCGTGCCCGCGCGGCATGTAGATCAGCCACTTCTCTACGTTGTATACAAAATCACGCGCATCCGAGTCGCCTTTGACATCCGTGATAAAGTGAAAGTTGAAGGGCAGATGGGAACCTCGAACCCCATTGGAATCCTCATAGTAGTCAGCCAGTTGGGTGAGCCCTGCATACGCCTCGGTCATCATGATGCGTGTGGGCCTCTCTGGGTGCTTGGAACTAAAGTCTTCCAGAAGTTGCCGCCAATGATGAATCATTTCCAAAACCTCTGGCAGATCCCTGGAGTAGATGTGTTCGGTGTAGTTATAGGAAAGTGGATCCGTCGTTTTGCCACTCAATGGCTCATCCTTAAGGGATTCGTCCTCAAACAAATGATTCACTGCATCAATTCGAAAGCCAGCCAACACCTTTATTGAGCCAGAAGAGTAACACATCATCCATGGCTTGAACTACTTTGGGGTTACGAAAATTCAAGTCCGGCTGCTCCTTGGTAAACTGGTGAAGGTAATATTGCTGGCGACCTTCGTGCCATTCCCAGGCGGAGCCGTAGAAAACAGATGGCCAATTGTTGGGAGGTACTCGAGTACCATTCTCCTGGACTATGCCATCCTCCCACACATAGAAGTCCTCGTAACCCGGATTCCTTGGCAGCAGACTTCTTGAACCATTCATGTTGATCCGAAGTGTGATTCGGGACAAAGTCAAGAATGACCTTGATCCCCCATTCGAATGCCTTATCAATGAGCTCCTCGAAATCCTCCATAGTGCCATACTCCGGCTGGATCTGCTTGTAATCCGATATATCATAGCCAAAGTCAACCATGGGAGACTTGAAAATGGGACTCAACCAGGTGGCAGTAATTCCCGTGTCCGCCAAGTAGGGTAACTTTGAGGTGATTCCCCGTAAATCACCGATGCCATCGCCATTGCTGTCCTTGAAGGACCTCGGGTAGATCTGATAGAAGACCGTGTGCTGCCACCAATCGATAAAATCCTCCGTGTCGCTCTTCACCAGACCGGCCATAATGGAGCCCGAAAACATCAGACTAAAAAAAAGGATTTGGATGAGTGGAGCGAACATTTCGGCCCAGTTTTCTGTCCGTTGTGTTCGCCAGTTGGCAGTTTGACAGCCACTTTTAAAGCGATTCTGCCATATAATTAAAATAATTTTTACATTAGTCTTTGTCTAATTATCAGCGGTCGCATTAAGGCTACAAATTAGTGGGAGATTTTTATCAGCTCAAATCAAAACAAATTGCGGCGCGAATTAAATGAGTAAACAAAATCATTTCTTCCAATTTTACGGCACACTGCACTTGACAAGCCAAAGTATATTATAGCAGGTGATGGTTGGAAAAAATATAAATGCTTTTTATAGACATTGTCGCCGACCGATGTAGACCAAAATCACTTTGCTCACCTCAAAGAAATTAGAGTAAACTGAAAACAATTTTGTTTCGAGAAGCATTTTTAGCAGCTGCCGGCGATCTACTGAAAGCTTTTGTGGATTTAATTGCCCTCAGCTGATCAAAAAAGCTTTAAGTCCACAAACAATTAAAGCAGATCATGATGTAAAGGGGGATTAGGTGGTGCATAAAAATTTGTTATAAAATAGTTATTATTTAGAATAGTTTGGGAGGAGGTGAAACATGTTTAAAATATTAATCTTTACAGGTAAAATTATTAAAACGGGGCAAAAGTAAACTCAATATGAGATAACAGCAGGAAAATTAAAAATATAAAAACATTTCATAATCAATTTTGCTACGAAATCACCTTCTAATCACCTTGCTCATCTAGTTAATAACAGACGATTGGAAAAACAATTAAAATGAAAATAAAAATCAAAAGCAAAACGAAGTTGGAGCTGTGAAAACCTCTTTTATTTATGACATCTCACTAAGGGAAATTTAATTAAATTCGGCAACCATTTATCAGCCACCCTAAACCCCAAAAAGGGCCGAAAAACCCTGACGACAATTATGAGTTACGACTTTGAATTCAAGTCGAGAAGTAAACTGTGGGGAAAGTGCGGCAAGCGAGAAGTAGAAGGTCCGAGACCAAGTGCTCTCAATTCAATTAAAATGTTTGCAAAGCGCTAATGTAAATGGAAATGTGTTTCGCTGTCAAATGAAATGGAAACTCGAATTAGATGGCCCCTGTGAGATACATTTAAATGCGAAAATAGAAAAGCTCGGTTGTATGGTTAATGGAAAGTTTTCTTCTCGGACTTTAATGTTGAATACCAAGTAGTGCGGTAGGTTACTTTCGTTTATTCAGTTGGATGACCAGACCCTCGTAGGGGGCCAACTCAATGGCCTCGGCCTTGATTCTTTCTCCAATCCTATGCTGGGAGTCCACTCCCACCACAAGGACACTTAACCTATTGGGCTGATCTATGAAGTCTCCAATATCCACCAGTTCCGTGCCGTTCTTCACGTTCAGGATGGTCAGCAAAGTGTGTTCGCCCTTCAGCTCTCTGGAGATACAAGAAAAGTAACAAAATTTTAAACTAAAATTCAGTGCCACATTTTGAACTTACCGCTTGAAAGCAAATACTCTGCGATTTACCACTTCTGGAACAAAGGATCCATTCCTCAGAACTGGCAGCTTTCTGAGTTTCAAAAGGGACTGATAGATCTTATAATGACTCTTTCTTGCCAGCTGCTGATTGCGGAGATTTAGTTCCCTATAGTTGGGGTTAACTGGCAGCCACGTTTGATTGGCAGTGGAGAATCCTGCATTGAGATCATCGTTCCATTGCATGGGTGTACGCTCTGGATCTCTAGAGATCGACTGGTAGTTTTCAATACCAGCATCACAGGCGGGTTGATCAACAGTATCGCTCCAACTGATGTCCCTGTAATCAGTCATTCCCAACTCTTCACCCTGAAATGAAGGAAAATATATAAAATAAATTCCAAAAAAAAAATATACACACATTATAGGTAATAGCAATTCCTGGCAGTGTCATCAGCAGCATATTCATGGCGTCCACAGCCTGCACACCAAATCGGGAAGCCACACGCGGATTGTCATGATTTCCCATTACCCAATTGGCCACATGACCATGTGGCATATAAATGAGCCATCGGGAGATGTAGAAAACAAAGTCAGCAGCTGTGGAATTGGCATTCAGTTCGGTGATGAAGTCAAAGTTGAAGGGAAACTCGGGACCCTGAACTCCATTCGAGTCTTCATAGTACTCCATAAGTTGAGACACCGAGGCGTAACCCTCAGTCATCATTATCCTTAAAGGCCCATCATGGCTGGCTGTGTAGTTATCGAGGAGCTGTCTCCAGTGCTGGAGGAGACCATAATCTTCAGGTTGGTTTCTGGTATAGATGTGATCCAAATAGGCCTCATTATTGGGATCATCGGTGGTTCCACTTAGAGGCTCATCCCTCAGTTGTGCATCCTCGTAGATATAGATTATCGCATCGATACGAAAACCGGCTATTCCTTTGTTCAACCAGAAGAGCATCACATCGTCCATGGCTTGGATAACTGCCGGATTACGGTAGTTAAGGTCGGGTTGTCCGTAGGTGAACTGTCTGAGATAGAACTGTTGTCTCTCTTCATTCCACATCCAAGCAGATCCGGAGAAAACCGATAGCCAGTTATTGGGTGGCACACGAGTTCCATTCTCCAAAAGTATACCATCCTCCCATACATAGAAATCCTCGTATCCTGGTTCCCGAGCAACCGACTTTATAAACCAGGGATGCTTATTCGAGCTATGATTAGGCACAAAGTCCAGAATGACCTTCACGTCCAGTTCATTGGCTTTGGCTATCAGATCGTCAAAGTCCTCAAGGGTGCCATACTCCGGCTGAATATTTGTATAGTTTGATATATCGTACCCAAAGTCCACCATGGGGGACTCATAGATAGGACTCAACCAGACGGCCGTGATTCCTGTATCCTTGAAATACTGTAACCTAGATGTAATACCCGGAAGATCGCCAATTCCATCACCATTACTGTCCTGAAAGGATCTCGGATAGATTTGGTAGAAGACCTCGTGCTGCCACCAATTATATTTAGCATCCTGATCCTTTGCTTGATGGTTGTGGGCCAAAATGGCAACTAGACCCACACTCAATACGATAGCTATCTTTACTAGACCCATCGTGGTCAACGAACAAACTGGTTTTCTATTATCATCCGAAGTTTGCCGGCTTTTTATACCGTTGCCGGCTTTTCAATTCCGGTTTTGTTTATTTGACTTGACGATCTGATCGCTCAAATATTTAACCAATTGTTGTGTCAAATTGAAAAGTTTTTAAATGGAATTAAACATTTAAAGTTTTTTGTTCGACAAGGCTTTTACATTGGCCAGTTGACCAAACACAGGGAGATTTTTTAATAGAAACAATGTTTATTGTTTTAGCATAAAAGTAATGGGAAGGAAGTACGGAAGTGAATCAATACTTAGTATTGTACTTACAGTTTATTGATCTAGTAATTTAGTTCATCAAATGATTAGTGCAATAAAATGATAGCAAGCAGAAGGAGCATAGATGGTTTATCCTTGAGATATGAGTTACCTTTAAAATTAATACATTGAATGAAAAGTAGATTTTCTTTAAAATTAACAAATGCCTAACCGCTTTCATACCATTTGAATCCAAAGAGTTTGACTAAACAACAACCCATTAATTATAAGGCAATTCAGCTTTCTAACCGCGAACTTCCGTTGCGTGACCAGGGCAGCAAAATGGAATTTTACCCAATTCCCCTGAATCTGGCAGCTTAATTAAACATTTTCCTGGAGTAAAAACCGGAATAACAATGGGTAAGCCATATACCTTCAGATCCTCTTGTCCGTCTTGATGTATATATTGGAAATTTTGGAACAAATATGTGCAGAAATCTTAGCTTGAAGCCGAGCAGACTCGGCATAATTTTCCCGCTTTTCACAACGACATGAAAAGGGTTTGACAAGGGGGCGTGGCTGTTCCCATTGAGATTCCTTTGCCGACGAAATCAAAGCGAAGCAAAATTTTCCGTAATTTTGAGGCCGCACCCACCGGGAAAAATAGAAGGAGGGGAAAGTGAAAAGTTAAAGCGAAATGTTTTAGGGGAAGCACCGGCTAATCCAAAGCCTGTCTCCCCAAACTGTGCCAGCCCTCAGTCACCTGTCTCACCTGTCTGTGGGTTCGTCGCAGGACAACGAGGTTTACCTTTCATGTCGCGGCGCTGATTGAATTGCCTTTACGCGGGTAAAGGACGAGATTCAGAAGCCTTTTGTGTTAGGGAAATCTTAGAGTGGGGGAAATTCTTTTTCCCGAGCACTTTTCAATTTGGCTTTTGAGGCCTCCCCTCGGCTCGAATAAATAAATACACAACCTAAATTTTTTATTATGTAAATATTTAATCATATCAGAAAATTTCGGGTGCTCCAACAGCTTGGCATATTAAAAATCAGCTCCCACTAATCCCATAGTCCCAGATATTTACGAATTTAACACACGCGCCTAAACATATGCTACGGGTTTTCCTCTTTTCCGCCTTATCCATTTTTTATGTCTATGTGTTTGTAAGTCGTTTTTTTTTTTTTTGACAACCCTTAAGCATCAACAAATTTGAATTGGGCGGGTTGTCGCTTTGGTTTTTGATTTTTTCTGGGAGGGCTGCTATTTAATATTGTCAATAGGTTTACGCTTATCAAATACTTGTTATCACAAATCGATTACAACAACAACGGCGGCAGAAGCGAGTTTGTTGGTTTGTTGTCATTTGTAGAGATTGCCTTTGTCATAATCAGGTTCCACATGTAAATTTCCGTATATCTATCCATGTGTTTTTTGGCCTGTTTTTCGTTTGTAGCCCAACCGACCTTTACTATCTGGCTGTTATTGTTATTACTTTGGGCGGGGACGATCCTAATATTATCTGTTTAGACTCTGTTAGATAAGGTTACAGTCGAGTCACTGACTGATAAATTATGGTTGGTATAAGCTCACATTCGTTACAACTTGGTATTTACCCAGAAGAGTTATTGCCGAAGAGGCGTTGCAAAAAATAACAAAGAAAGCGATTTGTGTTTTTGCTGAACTAAAAACAAAGTAAGTTTGACAACGAAATCTATATATTATATGAACGCTTTAATTATCTGTTAAAAACTTAACTTTTAATGGCACATCTTGTTTGTTTGATGAATGACATAATCTATATTTGGATAAGTCTCCATCTCTCGCGCGAGATAAAACCCATTTACGGCCGTGATTCAACCCGTTGATCATTATCTTTTTAATAACATTCTGGCGAGCCAAATTCCGGGCTGCAGCTGTCAGCTTCCTGCCATAAAGCTAACAGTAGTCGCTTAGCCTCATCCCATAAACTCGGCCCATTACCTTTATTAGTCTTGCTGTGAGTCTTGTTATTACTACTTGGCCAATTGTATGGGCCGAAGAATGGAGTGGGTGGTTTGTTTGCACCCAATTTGGATGTTTTTGTCGTACGTATTGAGATTCAATTAGTCAAACCACTGCTCAGAGTTAATAAATCAAATCCCTCCGACCATCAGAAATCCTCGAGGGAAAACGAATCGCTGCTGGCGAACGATTAATTATGCATAAATTTGATTGATGTGCGTGAGGCGACTGTTTAAGCGGTGCCAAGACCGCCTCCCCGTCACACACCCACCCGAAGTGTCAATGAAAGCGAGCTCCGCCCGTAAGCCACCAATTGATTTACTGAGGTGATGACGCACTCGGCGCTGCTTTTAATTAGCATTGAATGGCGTTATTTGCATATAATACACACCTCGATGTGCCTCGTCGAGAAACAGATTTTTTAACTGTAATGGAAGCGAATATTACGTAAAAAACACTTTAAAATGGGGATGAGGTGAAAACAAAATATTGACACTATAACTTGACTGCCAGCTCCGAACTTGTTTCCATTCAACTTTGCAAGTATTTCATTTTTATTGTTATTTCCATTTAAAAAGGATTTATTTCCTTATTTAAAAGAAACTTTTAGGTTGGCAATGATCCCTGTTTGCGTATATTCAGAGTTCTTCCCAGTTTTCTGTACTCCCTCTGAGTGCAATCAAAGAGGCAGCGATTTTGATAGGTTACACCATTGGTTCCGCAGACCTCTGCCTTCCGGAGGTTGCAGGGGCAATAGCTAGCCTCCGTGGATCCCACAAAAAGTGTGACCAGAAGGCCTAAAAGACCCACTAAAACAAGGAGCTTCATATTTCCTTAGTGGCACTGCTAGTTAAATAAAATTTATAACGAACCCGCAGTCGTATTCCAACGAATGTTCCATCAAGACTGAGTTCCACTTGAAAGCACATTTGGTTTTGTTTATTTCAAGTATATCTGTTTTAGAATACCCTACAGATAAAAAATGAAAACATCTTGTATAAGATAAGAGTAAACAAGGCTTTGTAATTTATTTATTTAAGAATATTATCTCACAGCACTCATTTGAATTGGTGAAGCCTGCACTACTGTTATTCGTATAAAAGGTATGAGTTCATATGTAATTTCAATTAGAAGAAAGATTTCCAAGTTCTCTTAGTTCGAATCATCCACAAACACCAGTATTCCGTATGTTTAGGGTCCGTCCAAGTTTCTTGAGTTCCCTCTGAGTGCACTCGAACTCGCAGCGATTTTTGTAGGTGACCCCATTTGAGCCACAGACCTCCGATCCCTTCGTCTTGAGGTCGCAGGTACATAAAGCGGCCTCCGAGTATCCTGCGAAGAGGGTGACCAAAAGACCCAAAAGGACCAATAAACCCAGGCACTTCATAGTTTCTATTAGTTTTTGTGAGGGGGAACACGTAGTCGTTTCACTGCGAGTGTTCAACTAAGACTGAGATTCGGAAACGTCGCTTTGTTCTGGGTATGAGTATAAGTTGGTGCCTCCATATGTGTGCGTAAGTTTTGCTAATTAGCCAAACAAGCTGATGATTATTTTGCACTGCTCTCCCGACCTCCCGACCCACAACACACCGCCCATCACACTTTTTCTCACTTCGGCTGAGTGTGGGTTTCGTTTGCATGTGTTTTGCGGGCTTCCAGCAATTTACACGGCTTGCAGTTGAGAGCCCGCACCACCACTAAAGTGAACACTAAGAGCATAAGACTCAGATATAAACCTCGCATGGTGGCTGTTACTCCACAACTGGAGGAAAAACTTAGTCAAATTTCCCTTGGGGCTGAGCAACTAAACTAATTGAAATTGAATGGCAATTGAAATTGAATAGCTAAGCGTCGTGTAAATTGCCTGACAAAAAGACTCGCGATTCATTAATTACTGGGTATCATAAAAAGCGGAGCAAAGTGTATGCAAATTTGAGTGGTGGGGGAAATTCCCTCAACCTGATCGTTGATAACAAGAGTGAAAAGCTCTCTAACAAAATTAGTAAATGATAGCTTTTCGGTGAGCTTTTTTCAAGTATAAACAAATTGCGTGTTTTGTTCCGCGATAAGCTAAGTAAGTAATTAAATTGAAAGTGCTGGAGTCCATAAATTATTCAAATGCAATACCTGTGCATATATTTAGCGGGGTAAATTCTTGGAAGTAAACATGGCTAATTTAGCTCGTATATCTACTACAAAGTAGGCATAGTGTACTAAAAAAATACTCACACCTCCAAAGCCCCAATAATAACTGATAAGATAAGTGACCAAATCGAAGCCAGCCAAAGCTCGATTGAATGAAAAAGAAGTCGAACAGTATCAAATCAGTCCAGCAAGTGGATAAACCTCGTAGCAATGAAATTCCTGAGTATTTTTTTGGCCCTGTGCCTATTCTTGGCCCTTGCCATATCGCCAATTCGTAGCGATGACGACGCTGAGAAAGAAGTAAAGACAATCTGTCCTTGCCCCAGGAACTACGATCCCGTCTGCGCCACCAACTTGATCAGTTACCCAAATCGCTGTGAATTCGATTGTGCTCGCCGCCATTTCGAACGCCAGGGACGCAGCATGGGATTGCTGAGAAACGGAAACTGTTAAGCGATGAATCCCGTAAAAAAATAAACAAAAATGCCAGAAAAATAAAAAAAATATGAAAAAATATTCGCCTTGTATTAATCATCAAAATGGAATATATAGAAATAAATCAGCTTATCAGGCAGCGCAATTGGCATTGCAATTGATAGCGTTTCACCACCTTATCGCAAATACGAATCATATATAAGGCGACACTGGGAAAAACTTCAACCTACTTACGAGGACTACAATGATTTGTGGATTTATTAATTCATTAGATCCTCAAGTGGTTGCCTGTCAAAGTTGACCAACTATGCACGGCAAGAATTGAACTTTATTCTTTTATGAGTCATTTAATAATCTTATCTTTTTATATTGTTTGTGAATATCTGTTTTTAAAATCTTTTAAATAAAGCATAAAATATAAAAAACTGTAAAGTTTTTGTTAATTTTTTGAAAAGGTATTTATATTTTAAACATCAAATTAAACATAAGTGTAATAACGTGTTTATATCAACCTATGAAATTTCAAAGGTAATTTACTTAGCAAGTAATGAAGTTAATAAGGCCACAAAATTTAAAAAAAATCTCATATTGGTACTAAACTTTTCATATTTTTGTGTAAAATAAGGCATTTCATATTTTTCATGTCTCAGCCCTGATGTGCTTTTTATTATTATTTTTTATTTGTTGGGTAAAGTTATGCCAACATTTGTCTAAATAGAATCCAAGCCAGCAAGAAAACTCGTTAAACAATTGGGTCAATAACAGAAACCTCAAAAGCACAAACACAAAAATTATATTCGCTGTTTCGTGGAAACCTATTTATTTTTCAACTTTTTTATTTAAATTTCGTCATTAACAAACCACTTGATTAAATATGAATATTTGTTTACTTTAAACGACTTTTAATCTTTATTTTTCAAAAATCTGTAAAATTTATAATCTTCATATAAGAATATTCAAAGTACTTGGAAATTGACTTGCCAGACCAGACTCGTCATATCGACACTTATTAAAACATAGCCCTAACAATTTATAAAAGTCGACATAAAAACTCGCATAACCTTGATTATTTTTAAAATTTATGACTTTAAGAAACTTTTCGTAGTTAATATTTTAGGACACGTATTTATTTATCACTTTTGATCATACAGATATAGACTATAGCCAGTTTGATTTCCATATTCCTGTTGTTAGCACGATCCCGTTTTGACCAAAGTTATCGAGCCTCCCCTGCTTTTCGATGCGCAGTTTAGATCACACTCATTGCTGTAGGTCTTGGAGTCGGATCCGCAGACAGGATCATAATTGCGAGGACATGGGCAAAATTGGCCAGCAACCAAAGCCAAGAGTGAGAATAGACAAAGAGCGATCAGAGCTAAGCAGCGCATGGCTATAATGTTAGACAGGTTAAACAAGACTGAAGCTTTCACACCCGATCGTCACTTATTTATAGATAAGCCAGAACCTGCTACCTTTGCAAAACCGCACTTCATTGGAAAAACAGCACATTACAGCGTTAGAATCGTGATTTTAACACATCCCAAATGCCAGTAAAATTACTTTTGGAGTTTTGGAATAAATATTTAACAAATGATTTAATACCAATCAATAATTACAGTTTACATTGCAAAATAAGTAAATCATTCGCAGGAAAATCATAGCGGGAATTTCCCTCTTCTTGAACACGTGTCGTATACGCAATACAAAAAATGAACGAACAAAACTGGAATCTTTCTTTACATAAATAAACATTTATTGTGACCCTAGTTTCGCAAGTAGCGCGAAGCTGTTGGCCTTGGCAACTTGTGCAAAAAAACGGTATTATCTTGGCCTAATAAAATCCTTTCAGCGCACAAAAGCAATTTCAATCTAATCTTATAGTGCCAAAGGAGACGGCTAAGCCTGGCCGAATCAAAGGAGAGGATATTACAAGATGAAGCTGAAGAAAAGCAAGAAAAATGGTTGTAGAACCGCGGATGCCATGGTGATTGCGTAATGCTCTTTTTTATTTAATAAAATATGTTTTTATAGTGACTAGAGCAAGTATTTTTCATTCAGTTTAATATAATATTTATTATGAGGGAAAAAGATGTAGGTGTTAAGTTGCAAGCAATAATTTAAAAATATGTTCCTAAACCAGTTTTCATTTAATTTTCTTAAATTCTATTGCTTGAAATGCCTTTTCCTTGCAGAGCAGCTTACCATTTAAGTTAAATCTATATCTCAAATGTATCTTAAAGTGGAAGATACGCCTTTCCCATCAACGAAATCGCCATGAAAAAACGTTGTTCGACCCTTCTGGCCAAGAAACAAACAAAATATACAACACAAATACACTTTGGCTAAGCCCAACAGCATTAGAGAGGAGGGATTTCCAGCAAGTGAAAGACAACAAAAGGATTTGGGGCTCACATAGATGTGTGCACAAGCAGAGATAGTTTGAATACTGATTGCCCTGCAAGGACCTGTTGGATCAGACACAGAAGTATATATATATATATGTATATAAATTATTTATATACCGCATCTTTGGATACGGGTTACATCACCAACTTTGGCGAAAGATGATCAAAAATGTGCTTTTTAAACTTTTAATGCAGTTCTGTTAAGAATTAAATTACGAGGTCAACGAGGTATAAGAATCCATATTCCGACCACTTTTAGGTTTGTTATGGGAAAAAAACTGATTTGTAAGGTGGAATATTAGGGTGGACCTTATTTCGGATTCGCTCACTTGTTCTATTTTATTTCCCTTGTGAAAATACAGATTTTAACAAAGAATGTGTTTCATTACCTTTTCAGTTGCCAGCACGCCGGAGAGTTTGCCCAGCAAGAGGGACGAGGCAAGTGTTGGGGCGGGCACCACTGGCGGCACAAGTGGAGCGGCATCTAGCAGCAGTGGTGCAGCAAGCGGTGGAGCAAGTGGTTCAGGTGGACCCACAACTGGAGCTGGAGCTGGAACTGGAGGAGCAGGTGGTGTCAGTACGCCAGCACAAGAAGCCGTCAGCCCGACGGTCTCCGAGCTCAGTGGCAGCGGCACAAATGCGACAATAAATGGTCAAGTGGCAAGTAAGTAAAGAGCAGCTCTTGGCATTTTGCATCCGTCCCTCGCTGTTGTGTGCATTATTTTTGCATATTTCATCATCTGATCCTGTTGGGGGATACTGTGGGTAGGTGGGTGGTTTGGAGGTCGCATTATAATTTCCAGTTCGAGCAGCGGACAGGACACCGCAGAGCTTGTACACCGACAGCATAATCCATCCTGTACCAGCTGCGGAGATTGCTGTGGCTAAGTCGGTTTGACATCGCTCGGAAATTGCGGAAATTTAGTTAGGATACAAATCCTTGGGTAGTTGCGGTTAAGAACTAAATTGGCTAATTGAAATAGCAATGCAGCGCAAAATCCCTAATTAGATTTTTATTTCATTGTTTGGCTTTGTTTATTCGGAGCTTTTGAATGGTAAATATTACAAATTCGATTATAAACCTGTTTTAATTAGCAAATGAAAAATTGTTTTCACAAAAATAAACTTATAAATCTAATCACAATTTCAAATTTAGTAGTAAAACCTATTTAAATTAACAAAATCCAATATTAATTTATTCGATTTGATCAGATAATGTAATTAAATGACATTTGAAATATTAAATGAAAAAACACATTTTTGTGACACTAACTTAGGATGAAAGGGAGGTGCTTTAAGACGAATAAATGATAGCAGTTAAAAATAGATGTACATAAATTGTATAGCATACTTCTGGGCTTGCAAAAATCCAACGCAAATACAATCATCTACATTTTCACTAGAATGTCTTAAGGAATAAAAATAAAACCCCTTACAGTAAAATGAAAATTATAGAAACAAGTGAAAAATCGAGAGAAGCATGTTTATTTTTTACATTTTTCGGACACAAAAAGTTTGTTTATCGTATTCCTGTTATTTGCATCTTCCTTTATAACCAAGTTTGACTTTTTCACATTTAAGTACGCACGGGTTAGGATAGTTTTTTCCATTACTTCCACAAACTGGATCATAAATTTTTGGGCAGATACAAACATTATACCCAGTCACCATATCCAAAAGTCCGAACAGGCAGATGGCAATCCATGTAGAGCAACGCATGGCTTAAATTTGGCTGATATACACCTGATCACATTCATTTTTATACGTAAAGTTCAGCACCAGGAAGTCGTAGACAATTAAAGCGTTAAATCATAATTTTAGCACAAAACAAAATAAAACTTATTATTATATGGTGTATTGTTAATTGTTAATAAATATAAAACGCTTATTATAAATATACTTTTAAGTGCTTCTAAGGCCTATAATTCTTGTTTTTTGGTACCTCGTTATCATATTAAGCACTAATATACTTCACACCTAAAGGAAATCTAATTGAGATCAATGGCTTAGCAAACTAATTTTCTGAGCAACGTAACTATCTTACCTTTTCAAGAAAGATTGATGGGAAGCCATCGATCATGTTACCAGTTGCGAAACGCACTTTATGCGGCCATCAGGCCATTTAATTGCCGGACAATTTCCACCACTCCGCTCACATGGGTCAAAGCATCCGGAATTGGGTTTAGCGGTAAGCTGATGCCAGGTGGGGGCCAGCGCAGCATTTTTCTCCGGTTTCGCCAACATTGTGGGGTAAAATGAAGCGTTGAAAGTCATTAAGGACGTGAAGAGTCGCCAGTAAAATGAGCATAAAACATTTCATGCCAAAACTCCTCTCGAGTCGAGTCGATAAAGAGCCCGCGTATCTAACAGTTAAGCTAAGGAATCTCGGGTGTAACATAAATTTAAGTGCAGCATAAAGCGGATTTTATGACTGCCCCCATCACCTTTCTCTGGAGGTGCTTGCACTGTCAAAATAAATGGAATGCAGTTAAGATTCTCGCAGCCAGGACGAAGACACTCTGTTTGTTTTCTGGGTGGGAGGTAGCCTGGTTGGGGATTTCGCAGATAGATTGCTCTGTGTGCGCCCCTCCAACTCAGCACTTGACAAACACACACAGATAAATCCTTTGCACTTTTTCGACACGTCCGGCATGGCAACTTAGGGCCAACTTAGGATGATGCCACTCAGCCAACTCAAGGCAGAAACTCAAGGCGGGCAGGAGAGGAGACCAGGACATGCCTCGCAAGGGGAACTTCTTCAAGGGCTTTTGTTCGCTGCTCGTTAAGCATTTTCCCTTCACTTGGGGTTAAACTAAATAAAGAATTCTATGCTACAATGGCCTCAAATGATGGGAATAAATTATTGATTTCTAGTCGATTGTATCAAACGATTTTTGACCGATGATGTACAGTGGAACAAAAACTTTAACTTATTTTCTATGGTTTGTATTAAATATTTCTTTCTGTTTTGGTTTATAAAAATACATTTTTATAGGTGACATTTTCATGTATTTAAATATTTGTTTGAGGGCTCTTTTATGTTTTCCTATTGATAAGAGGACTCTTGGTGACCACTGTACAGCTCCCATCTGAATCCTTTCCTTTGAGGCCTTTGTGTGCTTCGTTAGATCCTCAGTAGGGCCTTAATCAATGTGTCAACAGTGAGAGTTATATAACTAAATAATCAACCGGCAACTAAATCAGTTTCTTCTTCTTCTATTCTCTTCGGGTTTTTGCAGGACACGGCTCACTGACGATTATCCGACGCACAAATAGCCGCAATTTCACCCAAAACGACCCCCAACTGGCATCGCCCTCAACCACCGCCTCCAGCAGCACAGTCCCAGGAATTGGCTTAGCCCAGACGCCGCTCAGTGAACCTCTTGCCGAGCGGCTGAGTTTCCGTTCCGGTAGCAACGGATCAGCGTCCGTCGGCGATAGCCGATCAAGCAATCAGGGCCCATACTGTGGACCATCCGCCAACGCCAACGCCGCCAACGTAAAAATGCAGCCATCATCGCCGAATGCCACCAACTATACGGCCGACAACATTCAAATCACGTCGGTCAATTTATCGCAAACCGAAATTGTCGCGGGTCGCGATTCGACGGACTATACCACCGTGCATTCGCTTAACGCCGGTGCCGGCACTTCGTTCCTGCGTGGGGAAACCGATAATCCGCAGGAGTCCGGACACTCCTTCGAAACGACTTCGAATACATCGTTCGTTGCCGGGCAATGGGATACGGAGAGTTTGCCGCCAGTCGACACGCCAGATGCCCTTAACAAAGCGGCCGGGAGGTAAGTTTACCACAGCTTCTACATCCTTAATTAGACTTCCAATTTTAAATATTTTTTATTTCTGCTGATATATTTTGTAAATAGAAACAACATTTCTTTGGTTACTTAATTATAATTTCGAATACGCGCAGTATTAAATATAAATACAGATAAAGGAGGTGTTTTCGACTATATACATATAAAATATTTCTACAAGTGCCAGCAATACTTTTCATGGCTGATCAGAAATCTAAGACTTAAAAAAATAAATACCAGAACCAGAAAACCCAATTAAATCTTAAATTTTATACACCTTACAAAGTTCTCTATGTGCCCTCTACACTAGTGACGTGTAACAATTGACTTTGAAAACTCCAAAAGGATTTATGTTTATTTATTTTTTACATTTCATGCTAAGATATATTAGCATTATTGGCAACGTCCCTGCTTGGCCACCGAAATTTTACTTCCTCTCTGTTTTGCCGCGCATTCAAGTATGCAGGGGCTGCTATAGGTTATAGTGTCCGTTCCGCAAACAGGAGCAATGACAACAGGACATTTACATGCATTTGCTGAAGAAACGGTCCACATGGCGATTAGGCAGAGTGCCCTCAGAAATACGTAGGACATGGTGTAAATTCTTGTCTGGTCAGAAAAGACTGAGCCCTTACATGAAATCGACTATTATTTATACATTATACAAAACTGAAATTTTTAAGTCGAACTGTTTAATCGCAATTTCAATACATGTTACGGTCGTCAGAATTATTGTAAGTGTAACTAAAAGAGTAAAAGTATATTCGAAAGAAGTAGAAAAAAAAAAAGCAGGACTAGTCTAACTCCTTTTGGATATAAGGAATGATATGTAGAGTGACCTACATATAACTTTTGCGACAATTGACTTTCAAAACTGCAGGGATTTATGTGGGTTTATTATTCACACTTAATTACAAATTTTAGCTAAATTAGCAATCCCCTCCTTAGCCACAGAAATTTTAGTTCCTTGCTTTCGTGCTTCGCACCTGAGTAAGCATCTACTGGGATAGGTTTTGTTGTCCGATCCGCAAACAATGTCCAAAATGAGAGGACATATACATGCTGAAGACAGGGCCACCATTGCGATTAGGCAGAATAAACTCAGAAGTAGGCTGGTCATCGTATAATAAGTTGATTACTTAGAAAAGAATTAACTTTTACACCCGATCAATACGTATTTATATAGTGTAGATTACTTAGAAAAGAATTAACTTTTACACCCGATCAATACGTATTTATATAACGTGAACCAGGAAGTTATATAGATTAAAACCGTTAAATCGCAGTTTCAAAACATGTTATGGTCGTTATAAAGTGTAAACTTTTCTAACTCGATTTCTATTCAGATTGATAGGGTCGAAAATGCTTCTCAAGTATTTCGGTTCAAATTACTAATCCTAATTGAATGCATTTTATTTACTTTAAGTATATTTTAACTTGCTTAAAACATAGAACTAATATATGTTTTAAATTCCACAGAATACGCAGTCTTCTCCGCCGCATGGATCATGAGACCGTCGCTTACGAGGATATGCAGCGCAATCTGCATTATGCGGCTCGTGTACTCGAAGCCGTCTTCATTGACGAATCAAGGTAGGTGAGAGTAGTGGTTCTACACCATAAGACATCCCCAAAAAATCGAAAATTTTGCAAGCATCTTGGCGAGCTAACCTAACTAAAAGGATAGCGAGTCGAATCGAACTGATCTTTGGACAAAGAACTCTGCTTCAGCTTCGGCTTCTCAGGGGCTCTCATCGAATTGGTTTAGGCTTTGTAACCATATTTTTAGTAGGATTCATACGACTAATGCTGCGTAGTTTCAAAATTTCGGATTTGCACCCAAGGCAAGCTTCATTTAACCATCAAATCATCTAAAACTTCGCTAACTAAAGAGAAACCCACCTTTAATGTATTCTTAAGTCGAAACTTTATTTGAGGCCCTTTTTTTTACTATTGAATGTATATATAAATCTGAATATTTTTCTTTTTATATCCGTTCTGTTACTGTTACTGTGTGTGTGTCTATGTTATTGAGCAGAAGCCCCACAACAGGTAAAACAAAGTTGGGGCAGATTGCGTCCTCATCCGTTGAGAGCGAAGAGTAAGTGTTCCCATCGAGTCAAACTTGTCGCTTTGGTTTTCTCGTTAAGTCTGTTGATTTTTAACTCTAACATCTCCTCTATAATAAAAAAAAAATACCCAAAAACCATACCGCTCATATCAAACCGAAAACCAACAATAACCACTATAATCACCTATCTCACCTATTTCTTCTTCCAACTTCTTTCTAACTCTGTTAACCGACTTTTTCTATCCTCATACTTTGTAGTGCTCTATTCAGTTCATGTATTTCGAAAATCGAGATATATTCTTTGCCTTGCTCTGCCAGTACAAAAAAATAAACTTTAGCCCATTATCATCATCATCATTTATCGTATCTATATCTATTCTGTCTTTTATCTATCATTAAACACATCATCATATAACGTTTGCAGAGATCGAGTATTTCCTAGCCATAGCCTAGCCTTACGTAACGTATAACTGTGTTTTGTATTCTTCGGCCTGTGAGAGCTACTAAGTTAAGGTTTAAGACCCCTAAAACACCGTCCCCTAACGATTTGCAGCACCGTACTTTATTGAAGAACTGTCTTTCTCGGTGTCTTTCTTTTGTGCTCTGCATTATTTCTACTAAGTTTGTTTATCAATTCGCCAAATGGAATTCTCAGTGTTCTTCTTCTGAATCTAACCCCAACTCTTTTCCTTTAGCTCTAACTTCACCTCTGAACAGCTATTCGCTATATGACTTCAACTCTACTGATGCGCAGATATTGTTGAATATTATCAACTACTTTGAAGATAACACATAGGTTATGCTCACAACTTTAGCTAATAAATAAACAAGCTTCTGGTTTTTAAAATGTTTCAAACGAGTTCTGGTTAGCTTTGCTTTTCCCAATCCCGAACTCACAACAATTACCAGCCCAATGCATCAGTGCATTTTTATTATTTACCACACTTTCAATTAAATCCCCCACCGATCCACCCCGCCCGAATTTCATCTGCATATGTATGGAAAACGCAGTATCCATTGTGCCGCAGTATCCAGGCGCCGGGGCCACATGAATTTTTAACATTTTTCTACCTACCGAACCCACACGTGACACGATTCCTCGATTTACATAGCCAAGTGAGGTTGGATTGAAAGTCGTTTTCCCTTTTACCCTTTTTTTGTTCTTTTTTTCGAGTTAACTTGGCTTGTCGTTGAGGCTAGCTTTGTATGTTGTTGCGGCAGTGATACATTTTTAAAAATTCGCCCTGAAAAAACAAATTATAGTTTACTTTTAAACAGAAATTTATTCCCTTAATATATTTAGTATTTTCTTTATAAATATTAATATAAACCTATAAAATAAAATCAATACTGATTTGGGGCGAGTTTTTAAAAGAAATGTTAATGAATAAAATTATTTTGTGAGGCAGTCTTCGTGGGAAAAGTCCAATCCTCTAACTCAACTTAACCCTAAAGCTAACTACAATCTCTCAACTGATGTTCTATTTATATATTCTTTCTTTCTATTGCCAAAACTTTTACCTAAAAAAAACATGAAAACTTAATAAAAACTCTCACACAAAATACACAAACAAACCGAATGCAATGCAACATGAAATCAACGTGGTGTCTCGTAACCTAACAATTGCCCATTGCACCGGTTCGCTGTTACTCACTGCCAACTGCTGGGCGCCGAAACACTTGACCGCCTGCCTTGGAACTCCTAACTTGGAACTTTGGGACCAACGTTTTGACCACTTTGCAGAGAGGGCTGCAATGGCAATTGCAAGAATCTGAACTGCAGTCGCCACAGCCACGGCCGGGATGACCAGCAGCAGGATAACAATAACTCAAATAGCAGTTGTAGCCTGCAGGAGGGTGCTCCTGGGGGAGCAGGTGCAACACAAGCGGGTGACAACCAAGACAGCATAGAAAGTCGCACCAAAGGCGTTTCCCTCGCACCGCAGACACATAGTGGACCAACAGGTCCTCCAGCCTCGACAGAAACTAGCTCTGCCACCCCACCTGCCTCCAAATTGCAGCCAGCTCTTGAAACCGTAAGAGAATCAGTGATGGAGGAGAGTCCATTGAAAGACCCGGGGGAAAAGGCAGCACCGCAGCCAACCCCGGAACCAAGTGCCAAGGCGGCGGAGAGTTCACTGACCAGTGGCAGCGGCAGCAGTGGCAGTTGCAGTAACCCAGCGACCGTGCACCGGCAACGGCGCCTAAGGACACCCACCTGGGCCAGGTCCATGTCGACGAACAAAACGTACTTGAAATTTGATTTCTAATCTAACCGTTTATCCGTTACGCCTCTTTAGTTCGTTCGATTTGCCTTTTTTATTTGACGTTTGCGTTAACTAAACCAAAACACAGCTCAAGAATGAACAACTACTCTCTATTTAACTGTATAAACTCTGCCTATCTATCTCTCTCTACCTCCTCTATCCAATCTATCTGTCTGCTGACCTCTGTCTGCGATTTCCACTGCTGTAATCTTCTGTCTAGCCTCTGTCCCCTACCCCAAATCTTTTTGCTCGCTTCTGTTGTAAATAACTATTTTATCCTAGACTAATCAAATCAAACAAAAAATGAAAGAACACTTGTTTCGTTCCCCACCCGCGCACTGCGGGATTGTAAATGTTCCTTGTCGCGAGTTTTGTATGAAAAACAAAATTACAAAAAATGCTTACTATGTTTTATCGAACACACTTTTAATTCTTAATTGTGGTCATAAACGTAGTAAGTTTTTACGAGATTTTTCCACAGGCGTAGAAACTGGAAGGTTGGATAGTTTATAAGGCATTTTAAAAACTTTTTGAGCGACTAAAATCTTACGATGAGTATAAATATTCAAATAGATATAAAGATAATCAAAATTTTCATTTAAAAATGTATAACTTCCAGTTTTTACATTTGAAGAATTTATGTAAATTTTATCGACCAATGTAATTTTGTATATACATGTTAAAGTTTGTATACCACACATGAATCCATGGCATGTTTACTTGTCCTACATTTGTTTGTTTTCTTAATAATAAAAATTTAGCTTGCGCATGTGTTTGTCATTTCAAAGTTTGAATGTGCCGCCTAAGAGTCTAACTTATCGTCTTGTCGATTAATGGTTAACCAACACTGGTCAGCTGATCGTGACCAGGTGGCCACTCTACGCAATGGTAAGACCGTTTGAAATTCAAATCACTAGTATTTTTCGCGATCTTTGCCTGCGGTCACACTATTGCCGCCAAAAGTAAAAACATTTTTACTTGCTTTGCTATTTAAACATTTAGAGAAGCATAAACTATTAGTTTATTGCAATCGGGGGCCTAATTTCGGGTTCACTTAACCGTGAAAACGTGCCGCGCGTTCGAAATGAGCAGTGATAAAGTGAAAAACGGCAACGAAGGCGAAGAGTCGGAGGAATCATGTGGCGTGAGTAGCGAATGACAAATGGATGTGCGAAATGAGAATTAATGGATCTTTTGGGCACTATGCCGGCAGGATGAATCGGCTAGTTATACCACCAATAGCACCACATCGCGGAGCAAATCACCATCATCCAGCACGAGAAGCAAACGTCGTGGACGCCGGAGCACCAAATCGAAGCCAAAAAGCCGCGCCGCCTACAAATACGAGTAAGAAAACCTAATTAAATATTGAACAAGGAACTGATTCTACGATGATTTCCTTTTCCGCAACTCCATTGAAGCACCCACGTAAAGGAGAACCATGGTGCCAACATCTTCGGCGTGGCTTTTAACACACTGCTGGGAAAGGAAGAGCCGCAGGTCTTTGCCACTGCGGGCAGCAACCGGGTCACTGTCTACGAATGCCCTCGGCAGGGCGGTATGCAGCTGCTTCATTGCTACGCAGATCCCGATGTGAGTCATTAGGGTTAGAGCCAGAAAATGAGTATACAAAGTATTAAAATCAAATATTCGATCCCCAGCCCGATGAGGTTTTTTATACCTGCGCTTGGTCGTATGACTTAAAGACCTCTGCCCCACTTTTAGCCGCGGCTGGTTACCGCGGAGTCATCAGAGTTATTGACGTCGAGCAAAATGAGGCAGTGGGAAATTACATTGGCCATGGCCAGGCCATCAACGAACTGAAGTTCCACCCACACAAGCTGCAGCTCTTGCTTTCGGGCAGCAAGGATCATGCGATCAGATTATGGAACATCCAAAGTCACGTGTGCATTGCCATCTTAGGCGGAGTAGAAGGACATCGCGATGAGGTGCTATCCATAGACTTTAATATGCGTGGAGATCGCATTGTGTCTAGCGGCATGGATCACTCACTGAAACTGTGGTGTCTGAATACGCCCGAATTTCATCACAAGATAGAACTATCGAATACTTTCAGCCAAGAGAAATCTACACTCCCCTTTCCCACAGTAACCAAACATTTTCCCGACTTTTCCACGAGGGATATACACAGGAATTATGTAGACTGTGTGCAGTGGTTTGGCAACTTTGTGCTATCCAAATCCTGTGAGAATGCCATTGTATGCTGGAAGCCAGGACAACTTCATCAGAGCTTCGAGCAGGTTAAGCCCAGTGATTCCTCTTGCACAATCATCGCGGAATTCGAATACGATGAATGTGAGATTTGGTTTGTGAGGTTCGGTTTTAATCCTTGGCAAAAGGTGATTGCTTTGGGCAACCAGCAGGGCAAGGTGTATGTGTGGGAACTGGATCCCAGCGATCCGGAGGGCGCCCACATGACCACTCTGCACAATCCGCGCAGTGTGGCCACTGTTCGACAGATCGCCTTCTCTCGGGACGCCAGTGTCCTGGTTTACGTGTGCGATGACGCCACCGTGTGGCGTTGGAATCGTAGACAGGCGTCTGCCATCTGATGGCACATTATTGCGCAACCACACCAAATCTCACGTGGCCAAAACTTACAACATTTCCCTTAGTTAGTTCGTAGTTGTTTAATTTTAAGATATAATTGCCTCAAACGATTCCTATTAAATCCAAATAGTTTTCGAACTTCAAACATGTAAAACCGAAAAATTGTTAAAGAGATTTTAGCTTTCGTGCTAACTTATTCCTTTATTTATTTATAATAAAGTGAATATGTAAACACTTACTTATACTTCGCCTTAAAGATGTATTAACCACTTAAATAGAATTCAAACTGTTGCTCTTTAAGCTACGTAAACGTCTTCAAGTTGGTTGAATGTCCCCAGTTGGCAATTCTAATTGTGGAACAAAGCAAAGCTTCGCATAACAAATGGCTTCCAATTGCTACGTCATTTATATGCATTGCTGCACTGGCATGGAGCTCCAATCTGCTGCTGCTACTGCTTTTTTTCCCTGGTTGGATGTGGGGAATAAACGCGACGAAATTGAAACTGCCAACGGGAATGCGAATCGGGATGAGTGAGTAACCAAGCGGCGGACAGGCAGCCATAACAGCTCCCAGCAGACTGATTAAGCGAGCAAAGTCCCACAATGATTTGGCCATACCCTAGCTGAATTTTTATTGAACACTTTCGTCTGATGAAAGTGCAGACCATTTCTATTTCTATCATGTCTTTTTTGGGCGTAGGTAATGGAAATTTATGAAAATAGCTTATTCCATTATGATGGGAACTTTGATGGGGTTCCATTCAGAGCACGCCATCCCGGACTATTTCTGCAACATAAACATGAACGAGAATTTATGAAAAAGGTTCCGCTGTATTTTTCTTTTAGTGCGCAAATAGTTTGCCTTTGCTTATTTTTTCCACGTTTTTTTATTGTCTTTGCTAATCTATTGAGATTTCAGATGATGAAAATGTATGTATTTTTAAGGGCGTAGGAAAAGATCGGTGTTTAGGTTACGTAGTTTAATTATATCCTAAATTTAAAATCCTAGACTAGATTAATTTTAGTTAAAATCAGTGTAATTACCTTTATAGGGTATTCCAAAGTTCTTCAGTATCAAGAATTTATTTTTGCTCACATCGTTCTTGGCTGATTGGGTTTTGCATCTCCTTTGTCCGCCGTTCGTTGACCGCACTCCTTTCATCTCCGAACAACCCGGTTCCACTCCATTTGTTGGCTGTGAGTAATTAGCTGAAGTTGGCTCGGAACGACTTGCCATTGGCATTAAGTTGTCGAATTGCGATTCCCAGAACTCGTCGAGGGTTTAGCCTTGACACGCAAAGTCAAGCTAATCCGGAGCCATTGTTCTAGTTTATTTTTCTTAGTGGGGGGTAGTATCGGGTTGTGGCCATAAATTAAATTGAAAACTGAAGCCAGCGGGGTACTTTCCATTGTCTAAAGGAGCAATGCTCCTGCTATGCATTATGTTTGTCATTTGTACTTGTTTGTCTGTCCAGATGCAACTCGGCACGCTCCTCGGACACCAGCTCCACACACGTCCTCAGCTACGCCCGTCGCCACAGTCATATCCATGAAAACGACTACGGCGACAACTTCAATAAACGACGAATCATCCGCCTGCGGTTTGTCCTCCCATCATCCTTCTTCATATCCACGCTGTCTGTTTTGATGTTGTAGCACTCGGAAAATTAGCACTGAAAAGTAGAAGGATCTCAGCACTTGCATCCCAAACCGTGTTTAGGATTTTTGAATACGTTTTAGAACAAAATTGTATAATACTTATGTGTGGTAAAGTAAAAAAAAAGTTAAAAATGTCTTATGCAGCTTATATATGAAATGATTAAAGTCCTAGTCTGAATAACATACATATATTTTATAGTTTTTAAAAATTATCAATATTATCGGATACGTACTTTTTCCGAGTGCATTTGTGTGATTGCTTCTGCTGACTGTCTGTGTGCTCACTCGCAAAATACGCAATTACCCGCACCCAGCACTCCGTCACCACGAAAACGAAACCCACACAGATGATGATTTGCGTCTCCCACTTGTCGGGCCAAAATTAATCAAGCCAAGCGCCGCTGGTGAGGAAGACTTCGGAGGATGTGCGTCTTCGAAGAGGCTGTCACTTTAATTCGGTTTACATGTGCCGTCGACACCGAAATTAGTTTAGCGTGTCAGTTTTGGCAAAGCTCACAAGTCACCAGCCGGTTGGTAAGATAGCGGGATCCGAAGGGGGACAGTTTTCTCCACTAAAAGCCCCCAAATCAGGCCGACAAAATCCCCGACTTAGGTTTTAAGCTCTTAAAAGGGGGGCGTTGCGGACGCCCAATTTCGATTTATGAAGACAAATCGTCAAAAGGCAGCCGACGCGTACTAAAGATTTTCCAAAAAGCCCACAAATTACTTCGATCCAAAGTCCTGTTAAGACGGAGCCATATAAAAAAAAAATTAAGGGGAATATTACTTAGCTAATAATAAGAGTGAATTTTAAAAGGAATTGCAGGCAGTCGTAAAATTACAAAATATAACAAAGGAAAAAACTACTACAGTAAAAGGTGTTTAACTTTGAATTTCTCTTTAATTTAAATTTTAAGTTTCTTATTCAATTTGCATATCTGCTCACAATATCCAAAGTATCTTATCATTGCCGTCGTCGCTGACGCAATTTTGGCTTTGTTTAATTATGATAAAAACAAATAGCAATAAAACTTCAAAAAGAATTTACGAAGAACTGCAAGAATCAAAAATTCTGTAAAACTTGAGGTAGATATAAAACTGGTCATAGGTATGCGAGAATGTATCTATATGAATGTCGTAATCAACGGCGGAGATATCTATTGTTGAAAATTCACAAATTAAATGCCATTTTGCGGCTTCATTCATGCCGATAAGGTGGAAATAAATTTAATGTGTTTTCGTTTTCGGACCCTGCACACACATCGCGCTGATCGGGCAAAATAGTGAAAAATATGTAAAAAAAAAAAAACGCGCTGCTAGCACCAAAAATATATAAATACCAATTATTCAATAAATCACAATTAAAGGGAAAATTCTGCAGTTATGCCGCAGAAGAGACGTCAGCGGCGGGAGGGCGTGGCAAGCAAGTAATTGGAAGTGTTACATTAATAGTCATTAACTCTGATTGGAAGAGTGGCGGATTGTCAGGTCTTGTTAAGTGATGTATGTGCATTATAATTAATGGGGCTAGCATCGGTTTACATCTACCTGCAGCCAGGGACCAATTAAAATTGCGAACTAAATTCAAATGAGTCAGAAGCAAACCCCCATCGACCGCATAGAAATTGGGTCAACAGTCCTCCAACAACCCATCCCATGGTGCCCAAGTTGAAGGTTACAATATATATATATATGTACTACAAACAGTGGCTAAACGTCGTCGACTCTCTCATCAATCATCTTACGGCGAGTACAATGGGAGTGACCCAAAAAAAGCAAATAACCCCAGGACCCCACCTTGAGGACGAAATGCCATGGCACAGCTGATATTGCTATTACCCAATGTGAAAATCAATAACAAATGATGTTAACTGCCAATTTTTGCCACATCGGCAACTCAGAGAGAGCCGGGGGAAGGGGAAGTGCGTTGGGAAATATATCCAAAATAGTCGCATCAAATGAAAGGACCTTCGGGTCGTTCTGTTGTCCTGCTATTATGTCCTGTCCTGCCATGTCCTATCCTGTCTTCCGCCTTTCTGGTAATACAAAGCGAATACGCACTTTAATCGCACAAAGCCGTGGGCGTACATTGCTATGCGAGGGTTGATACAGGAAGTTCTTTGAATTAAAAGGCTTAATGAATATTACATTTTTATAATTTATTAAAGCATGAAATTCTTAGATCTAAATAGTCAATTTTAAAGTAATCTGAATCGAAGTTCAATTCTATTAAAATTTAGAGTTAATTTTTTAAACAGTTAAAAGACTTCATCAATATTTTTTTAGATAGCTTGATAATAAACACTCTTCAAGCAGCCCTCGTCGTATTATTCTCAGGTTTCATTTCTGGCCTTTGTGTTATGTTACACGGACGTCCCTGTGCCATCTCCGCCCACTCCATAACTATTGAGGAATGGGTGGAGGAGCGGGTAATGGGACATGTGAGCCGATTTCGTTGGTGAGTTTTCAAAAAGCCGCCGACAACACAAAATCATTGGCACAAAACAAAGCTGTCAATTTGCCAGCAATTTCCCGTGTGCCGTCAATGGCATGGCGATGACAACCAGGAATGCCACACAAAAAAACATCATGGAAACAACGACAAAACGCTTGAGGCACAAGTACAGGAAATTGCACGCATAACTATTAAGTAGCATGCTTCCCGGGAAAATGACTGAAAGAGAGGGGCATGGGAGGGGGAATGCTGAGTTTCCCAGGAACGCATTATCATTGGCCCGTTTATGGAGCTTTAGTGGGATCTATTTTGCCCCAACTACTGTCATCAAATGACCCCTAAAATCAACTGACGCCCCGAAAAACATTAAAGTATATTTTCTTACACCACACCACTTTTAAAGCTATGTAGGAAACTTTAATAGCTTTGCAAATTACCCTTGAAAAGTAAAATATAATTTTTTGATATTTTGTAAAAGTTAAGGAACATTAGCCAACAGTTTCTTGAGTCAAACTATGAACTCTTCCATCCAAACACCTGAGGTGGTTTTCTAAGACCAACTTTAACTACTTTCCAGAAAGGCGGTCAACTTTAAATATAAAACTTAACTTACTACAATTACTTCATTTGTTTAGTTATCCTAACATCAAGTATAGGTGTAAAAAAGAATTAAATATTCCAACAGTTGAGTTTACAAGCACTTACTCGACTTCAGCTGCAACCTGTTGCAGACTTTAAGCCATTTTCCCAAGATTAAAGCTCGCGTGTTCGCCAACTGCATATCAAAAGACAAGCTCTAGCGAGGAAGTCGAAGGAATGCTTATGGAGAAATCATGCAAATGCGCCAATAACTGATGCAATTTATTTTAGCAAACGCCGCGGCACGCAATTTGCCGCACGTCAAAGAAATGAAAATTGAATCAAAAGAAAATAAGAAAAGCGCTTACGAATGGAATGCATTTGGTGAAAGAACTGGGGGAAAAATGATGGGAAATTGGACCTGGTTTTATGGCCACCCACCAATCCCCATTCTAGACCACCTTGAACCCTTACCCATGGAAATCCTACAAAGAAACAAAAAATTAAAGGGGAAGGACAAGTCATTAAACAAAAGGCAAACGCCAAGGCCCCAAATAGGAAGTTACTTTCAGTTACAGATACTTTTGCTGGTCGGTTGCTAAGAACTCTGGTTAAATGAATTCGTGACGTTGTCGTGTTTATCAGGCTCCGGTTATTCCCTCTACTTCTGCTGGTTATTACAGCCAAAGCTGTTCTTCTTCAGGATACTTTGTTGGTATTGTTTCGTGGATGCCTTTTAGCATTTTGTGTAATTGTTTTGTGGGAAATAGTAAAAATATACAAGTTTGTATGTGCAAAAGTGGACTTGACTAAAGCTTGGGAATACACGAGGAGAAAAGTTGATAAGACTAGGAAATTTAAAGAAGAAATTAGTATTTAGAATACTTCTTACAAAGTAAAATCTTATAAAGGAAAGTTAAAGCAGTTCTTGGCCTTTTTAGAAATTGGTCTTGAACTTGGCTTACAATCTTTCTATATATATTATATAATACTAACTTACAAATTGAGAAATTTTAATTACTATTTTGTGAAGATCTTCCCAATATACTCTATTATTCTTTCAAGGAACCACTTTATGTGCCTTTTCTCCCAGTGCCTGGCTTTTTGGTACACAATAGTACAGTGTTGGGCTTGGCATGACTCGGCGGCGATGTCTTACTGCTGACATAATTGATATGGGCCACCTAGCACAGTTTTCTCCAAGTTTTCCATTTTCTCCCGGCCTTAAATTTTTCTTTTTCGTCCTGCAGTTGGCGTGTGCCGAGCTGTGTACACGCAATCCAGCTGGGCCAGGACTCTCCGGGCTCCCAAAAGGCACGCAAGTGGAGCTGGAATGGCTTCTTCTGGCAAAATTTCGCTAACCGTTAGCGGGTTTTTTTCCGCTGCTGCTCTCCGCAATTCAGTTTAAATTTAACTCGCGGCGGGCCAAGTACACAAAAATCGAGCAACGAGCGGCGACAAAAAAGAAATTCCGTTTCGTAGACCAAAAAAAAAGAAAAATAAGAAAAACGAAAAAAAGTGCTGCACAAATATTGGTTGTTGTCCCGTCATTAAAAGCGCATTTTGTTTTGCCAGCTAATTACGAAAGTGAAGTGGTATTAGGGGGTTGGCAATAGAGAGGCCCCTAAAATCGAGAACCCCCCAACCCCGTAAATATGAAAATGTGTCCCTCAGAGTGATGTATTAATTTCAAGTGGCAAAAAACCGGGCACGACATTGCCACAAAGTCAATTTTCACCTGAACTCCATGTCCATGTCCGAACCGGGTCGCAGTGAGGTGGGTGTTGTATCTGAACCAGCAGGAGTAGTAACTGAGGAGCCATCGGTGAGCCGCTCCAGCCGGCTGACCGTCATTACCATCGTGGTCGTTGTCGCCGTTCGCGCCATGAGTCGTCTGAGGCGTGAAAGCAGCCGACAAAGCGTCATCACGGTCGAGCTGATACAGTTCATAATTCAGTATCGTGCAAAGGAGACGCAGGAGAAGAAGAAAAGGTGCGATCTGCCACATTGCCAGATATATTGAAAAGACTCTAAAGTGTTCCCTTATAAATCAAAGAAAAGTATATTCTCTTGAAACATGTTCTGTGTCTCTGAAGCGGAGCATGCCATGCTGAGCGAATGGTATTAAATACGGAATATTTCTAGTGACAAAAACCAAAAAAAATGAACACACAACCGAAAAACCGAGTAGAACAATGCAAAGCGAGTGAATTATCTAGCTGCAAAATATACATGCAAACCGCAAGAATTGGTAGGAAGTGCACAGAAAATAAATCCACATGACAAAGTGTCGTCGCAGTTTATAGGGAGTGTTATGCAAGAACAATGAAGGGTTAGGGGAAACCCATTTTTCGGGAATTGCACAAGGAAGTTATGAGATCAGGATAGGGGATTCCAAGGAAGTGAATGCCTATAATTTTGTGCAAGGACACCTAAACGTTGATTTAAAATCCTTTACACAGATGCGAATTTGTAATTTAACAAATAATTCCTGGGGTATAAACCTAATATAATTAAGAATAAACCTACAAAAGCTTCCCATTCTCATAATGCCGACTACAAAACGTGTCCTACTTTAAACTCACCTGCGAGATCCTTTACTTAGTATTGGTAATTGGTAATGTTGGTTAACCCACACAGTGGGTAGTATCATCTCATGTCAACCCACTAAGCCAGGGAGCTACTCGACCATCCTCGCCAGGAATCATGTACAGACAATGAGCTTTAGTGTAGGGAATATAGAAGGAAGTGGCGGTGGGGCCACTGACTAAGATCTGAAGTTTGTCTAATTAACCATAATTCAATCTTTCGCTAATTTGCTTAAGTCAAAAGCGCTTTAGACACTCGGGTCTTCCCATTTCCATCCCACTCTTCACATAGCTGTCTCTCTCTGTCTGAGACTTTCAGTTTCTAAGGAGCGCCTAAGTGCTTTAGAAGCTTTGGGTAAAGAAGAAAATGCCAGGTAATGAGAGCAAAATGGTTTTCCAAGAAAAATGTAATCTTCGTTTGAGTTTTTGGGTAGAAATTTAATATTCACAAAATTTGTCATCTATATTATTTTTATCTCTAAACAAAATGAGTTTTATTGGTCACTCGGGGGAAAACTATTTGTTTTAAGTAACAAATTATTAAATAAAAGAGGAAAAGGAAAAGTATTAACTTATTACCTTTAAACCGAAGTTAAACTACATTGTGAGTAGTGATTTGGCGCACATAATTTAAATAATGGGGCATACCAAAGACTGGAGGGGGATAACGAGGTGTTGGTCATGGAAATGCATTGATTGGATCTCTAGTAAAAAGATGGACATTAATGGGCCAATTATTGGGGATTTTACCTACTGCGCGTGGGCAGGTGAACATATGGCAAGGTTAGAGCCAATTAGGGAGCCTAGGATCCTTTTGTAAACAAGTTGACGACTTTGGCAAGTAAAACTTGTCGCCAGTAGCACGAAGATATTTTACTGTTGCTGTTCTCGTTTTTGATGTTGCACATAATATGCACAGATACTTGGCATGCAATTAAGAAAATCCGTTGACTCGCCACGACCAAGTCCATAAGACACACACAAGAAAGACACCAACCGCCCACAAGCGCCCCACATACCACACGAAGCATGCTGCACTCTGCCTGCTTTTGTCAGCTTATTGCATAGTAGCAACTTTTGCACCAACCACAATCCTTTCCAGAAAACACCACACAAAAACCTCTTCACCACCCTCCCACAAAACTTTTTGAAATGTTAACTAGCTAATGCAAATATATATAATATATATCTATATGTACCTATCTGTATCTATAAATGTTACTTTAACACAAAAACTACTTATTTTCCTCGCTCACTAATTAAACTTTTATACAAAAACCTAAACTTTGTTTCTACCCCAAAAATGAAAACTTTCCTTTTTCCGTGCAAAATTTTAATCAACACAAAAACTTTCCTTTTGTTGAAATTTCTTTTATTGTTTCTTAAAACTTGGCTTTAATTTGAGTTGAAATTAACTTTGGCTGTTCGAACTCGATAGCAGATAACAAATTAAAGATTCGGTTTAATTTCTGTACATTTATTGAGTATTGTTTTTGGTAACCGATTAACCCGGAAAATCAAACTAAATGCAATTTAACTAACAAAAATATCTTTCTTCCACCCCACCTCGAACCATGTTCCATAGGCGCCTGGCGGATGAGGACGATGAGCTGTCGGAGGTGCAGCCGGATGCAGTGCCTCCGGAAGTGCGCGAGTGGTTGGCCTCGACCTTCACCCGCCAAATGGCCACCAGCCGTCGCAAAAGCGACGAGAAGCCCAAGTTCCGCTCGGTGGCCCACGCCATCCGTGCGGGCATCTTTGTGGACCGCATGTACCGCCGCGTCTCCAGCTCGGCCCTCACGGCCTTCCCACCGGACGTGGTCAGGCTGCTTAAGGTGAGTTGTTAGAAAACTAAGTAAATAAATAAACAGGTTATACAAATTTGCAACTAGGCAATAAAATCGTTTACTTTAGCCTTTCACTTTAAAGTGAAAGCTCTTAAAAATGTTATCTAATTTAATAAATTTAGTTTTAATTTTAATATTTCAAATTATTGTAAATTATTGTCCATCTAAACATTAAAATTCCGTAGAACCTGGACGACTGGACATTCGACGTGTTCGCCTTGACGGAGGCGGCCAGCGGCCAGGTGGTGAAGTACGTGGCCTACGAGCTGTTCAACCGCTATGGGTCGATCCACAAGTTTAAGATTGCGCCTGGGACCCTAGAGGCATTCCTTTACCGTGTGGAGGAGGGCTACTGTCGGTATAGGAACCCGTACCACAACAACCTGCACGCCGTGGACGTGATGCAGACGATCCACTACTGCCTGTGCAACACGGGTCTGATGAACTGGCTGACGGACCTGGAGATCTTCGCCTCGCTGCTGGCTGCCCTGCTCCATGACTACGAGCACACGGGAACCACCAATAACTTCCACGTGATGTCGGGATCGGAGACGGCACTGTTGTATAACGATCGGGCTGTCTTGGAGAACCACCATGCCAGCGCCAGTTTCCGACTACTTCCGCGAGGATGAGTACAACATCCTGTCGCATTTGTCGCGAGAAGAATTCCGCGAGTTGCGCGGTCTCGTTATTGAAATGGTTCTGGGCACCGACATGACCAATCACTTCCAGCAGATGAAGGCCATGCGCCAGCTGCTGACGCTCCAGGAGGCGACCATTGACAAACAGAAAGTCCTGTCCCTGGTACTCCACTGCTGTGACATTTCGCATCCCGCGAAGCAGTGGGGTGTTCACCATCGCTGGACGATGCTCCTGCTGGAGGAGTTCTTCCGACAGGGTGACCTGGAGAAGGAGCTGGGCTTGCCTTTCAGTCCGCTGTGTGATCGCAATAACACGCTGGTTGCCGAGTCGCAGATCTGCTTCATAGACTTTATCGTGGAACCTAGCATGGGCGTCATGTCTGACATGTTGGAGCTGATCCTGGCCCCCATTGCGCCGTTGAACAAATCCAAGCCATCGACCTTAGTGGAGCACGAGGCGACGACCTCGTCGGTTGTTATCCCTCCCTCCGGGATCACACCAAGCATGGATAAGCCTCAAAGTCGCACCGAGGCCAAGACCACCGCTGCCGAGTGTCTCGCCCGCAAGAGTGTCACTGGCACCACTGGTTCCAAGTTTAACATACCGAAGCCGTGGCTAACCTGTTTGGTGGAGAACAAGCGGATTTGGAAGGAGCAGGCCGTTAAAGGTAGGTTCTCGGCACAGTCTTAAATAAATTTATTTTATATGAATTTAAAACTTTGGAAATTCCAAGTATGAAACTACAATATTTCGAAGTTTTAAAAAATATAATTTTAAAGTTAAAAAGCTTTCCGAAAATCGGACAATAATAGTTTATTTAAACACTCCATTCCTTAAAGTAAAAAAAAAAATAAAGTAGTCTTAAAAGTAGGAACTTGGAGCTATTCTTAGTGTTAGTTAATTATCATATTAATTGCATCCCGGCTTTGGACGCTTTTTGTAGTCACATTAACTGCGCTAATTGAGTTTGACCTGTCCTTTGCTTTGATCTCTCGTCTGCCAATGGGCGTTTATTATTCATGCATAAACCTTCTTACGCAGAGCTTATGGAACGGCGCCGAAAAAGCGGTCATTAGGCGAATCAAGAATCCCTCCCATTCCAAAACTACCTCAATTCCATTACAATCTAAAGTAAGTCTTTGAAAAAATTTAAGGACATTTGCTGGCAGATTGGTTTTCTACCAAAAAAAAAACGATATATAATATAACAAGAAAGTAGTTTCAACACCAAAAAACTAGGGTATTTAAAGTACTTCCTTGTTTACTAATCATACGAGGAAATATTCTAAAAAGCATATTCCAATCCTTCTCTTGCAGATGCTGAGGCCCGAGCTTTGGCCACCGCCGCAGAAGAAGCCGCAGCCGCGGCAGCAGCGGCGGCGGAAGAGGAAGAAAACAAGCCAGCTGCGGCGGAAGCGGAAACGGAAACGGCCGATGGCGAGCAAACTGAGGCAACGGCGGAGCCGGCAGATGGCGCGACCGCCTAAATCTGGCACAACGCCACCTGTCGGGCGACAGCAAAAAAAAAACAGAAAACAAAATACAGAAGGATACTTGGGAACGAATACGGATTGTTATACTGAAAGAAACTGTGGAACGAACGGCTCCAAGGAAATTAATTTACTAAGCTTAGAAGCAGCCTAGAATACTAATAACAAACCGCTTCAGATGCGCTCTCTATGTGAATTGTGGTAGAGTTAGACTAACGTACATCATCTATATAGGCTTAGTTGCGGTACATTAATATAAATGTATAAAAATACTGTATACTTTGTTGTTGCAAGCGGGAAAACAAAACAAGAGAAAACTTAAGAAAATATTAGGGCCAAGCACAAAAAAAAACAAACAAAAAAAAAAGAGTAGATGTAAATAGCGAAGAGTTCAACTGAAATTTGTTGTGAATTTGTTGGTTCGTTGCGAGCATTTATACCTAGACTTGACTTGAGTTGTACTTGTCTTTTATTAGTTTTAGTCAAATGTGGAATTTATTGTATGATTTCTATAAGTTCGATGTATGCAATTTCGTTCTAATTAAATACATATATTTTTGTAAACCTTTCCATTTATTATTTTCAACTTGTTTATTTTTGTGTGTTGTTTGCATTTACCAAGCATTCGAATTGCTCAATTTAAAGAGTGGTTTTCGCAAAAGGGACGACAGGCTCTTCTAGGGCTGTCTAGATATTAAGTACCTAACTAAAAACTAAACCAAAAAATACCTGACAACTTAGCTATACGACTTGTATATACTCTCCACTAACCCCTAACAGACTTTCCCTTAAACCCAAAACGAAAGCAAAGGATTTCTAAAACTTTCCACTCCACAAATGCACATAGCTACCTATACGAGGATATTTAGGATATTTAATATGTATTTTTAAGGATATAATAGTCACGTTTCTACAAACATATTTATTTTTATACATGAGAGTGCGGGACGGAAAGTGAAAGGTCGAGGAAGAGGACGAGGGCTTGAGTCACAGGAGGTTTTGATTTCGTTTCGTTTCGATTTTCTTTTCTTTAACCAACTTAAAATGTTTTCAAACGTTTTTCAAAATGTCTGATAGCGGGACCATTCTTTTAAGATTTACCACTGCTCTTTACCATTTGAGCAGGAGCAAGGGCACGAAACAGGGGAAAACCAACCGGAAATGAAGAGAAAGCGAAATTGTCAAAGTCAAAGGGCAGTGGTAAAAGTGCTTAGCAGTAAGGTACCAAATTATCAGCTGAAATTGGGATCATAGCTTTATTAAGGTAGTCGATAAATGTACGAAAAAATACGTGGTGCAGATGTGTATAGCGAAGAGAGGCAGCATACTAGCATGTCTACTAGTACTAGCCACAAATTAAAAACAAACACAAACAGAAAACAGAACAAACGTACACAGCAGATTAATCTACTCCTAACCATTAATGGGATAAATATAGCGAAAGAATATCTATTATGTGAACGTAAATATTATTAAACAAACAATGTATGTTAATGTATATCAAACTTGAACGCTCAAAGCGATGCGCATATATACATATATTGTATATCGTATAAATATAGCGACCTCTCTAAAAATCTGTACAAAGTCCTGATTAATCTAGCGTTAGTTGCTGTAACACAGGCTGCAGACCCTCAACCAAAAGCAAAGTTGTTATTTATCTCTGTTGGAAAACTAAGCAAAATACAGAAATACTAATCGAACGTATGCATATGGATATATATGGGGTTTACGATTCAATGTTATTAGCAAAAAGTAGTAGTAGTATCATAAACACACATATTATAGTTCCAGCCGATGTGCAAGTTTGTTACCAAGAATTTTTGGGATGTTAAGTCCTATTAAGTCCCTTAGCTGATGAAACAACATGGAATATAAACACTTGCGCATACAATATATAAGTTGAAAGCAATCATTACATTTAAATAATATAAACTATTTAAATATAAACCCCCTAATAAAAATATATATATAAAATAAATACATTTTGTGTAAATACCACTTGCACAGGATGCAAAAATATGTAGAATATTAGCAGAATGCACTTCTAACTAAAAGATAAACCTAATAAAATAGCCAACCCACACCACCCACAGAAAATAACAACCAAAACCGAAGTCACATATATTACTGAGATCTGTAAATAACTTTGTTTCATCTGTTCATTTCTAGACCAGTTATTTATATATCGAATAAGCAAACTAATTGTGTACTTTACAAGTTTTCGCAAAACAAAATCCTACTAATGAAACGTTTTTAATTTTCCTACTATGTTAAACTCAACATTTAATATGCATAAACTAACGGCGATGGTAAAAAAAAACAATGCAAAAAAATATTTGAGAAAAAGGATTATGGCTGAGATGTATGCTTATTACGAAATACTTTCAAGTAAATTATAATAACACCATATGACTTTTAATATACTAATAAAAATTCTTATTAAACCTAACTGGGGGAGATTTTTCATATGAGGTTGTTGTTTTAATATTAAATTGGTTTTCTTAAGCTTTTAGTCTGTTTTATATAAATATTTGTATTCGCTTGAATTCAAATTTTATGTTGCCACACAGGTAAAAATAAGATAAGCAATCGATAACCGCATTTTTATCGTCTGCCGTCTCTTCTACATATTTGTATGGTATTATTTGTAGCAGTGGTGAATTTATAAATTCTATTGTTAGGTAATTTCTATTATCTGAATTATATTATTTTTACTGAATATTGGTTTTTTTAATTATCTAGCTCTGTGCCCCATGCTTAATATACGCTCTGTGTGACCGGCACACATAATTTACTTTTGGTTATCAAGGAATACCCTAGATTTTTGTACATTAAAGCTGCAGTATTTTCTTAGTCTTATTTGAGCATCTTCCCTGACCGGATGGTATCTTCATACTAACCAATAACGGTCACTCTGGCATTGATATTTATCGATATTTATAAAATACGATACATTTCATTTTCGAGCAGGTAATTAAAAAAAGGCGAGAAAAACAGTTAAGATGTGTGAAAAGCGTCGGATTAAATAATCGTCCAGTTGACTGCCAGTGCTTCATCAAGTTGATAACAAATACAGGTGCCCATAAACGGATTATTGCCATTTGGTGGCCATTCGTGGGTGTTTCTCCGGGCAGAGGCCGAGCAGCGCTGCCAACGTCGACAGCGGCGGCAGCGTTAGATTCATTCATTCATTCCATGATTAATGTGCGGGGAAAATCGCTCCAACGTTTTGACATTGATACGGCAATCTGGAACTGGGCCATCAATTCCATACCCGGTGACAGTACGTCCGAATACCTCTTAGTAAACAGAGTCACAAGCTTCGCAGCCGCTTTGCCCCTCCCAAAAAAACCGATTCGTGCTCCCCCTTACCAGAAAAAACAGAAAAGAAAATAAAACAAAGACCTCGCCAAATTAGGCAACTGGCACCCACTGTCGTGTCTCGGGTTAATTAATTTTTTGCACAACAATCTGGCCGGCCTCTAAGCCAAAACGATTCCGCCTATAAACAGAGCAAATAAACGGCAGATAGTAAAAATATAAAGGCTCTGTAGTCCGAATTCTGGAATACCCTGGATAAATCAAACTAAATCATAAATACTTTCTTCGTGAAATATGTAAAGTTCGTCATGTGACTGGTCTTACTCTATTATCTTCAGAAACAATAAAGTTATCATACCTACACACCTACCTTTCTCTAAAATATATATATGATACGATATACCAGGAATATTTGACATTTAAAATCGTACCATTATAATATTTATTTATATAATTAATGGTGTTAATAATAATTGCTTTCAATTTTATTTCCTCTTCAAGTACTTACTTCAATAGCAGTTATCTGATTTAGTAATCCTATGTCACTGGTTTTAACTGGAAAATACGAAAGTCTAATTATCGTTAGAAACCAGAAACCAAAATTGTCAACTTAATCGCCAAAAATATTGAGCATCAGATAGTAATATAAACACATAACATATTATATAATAATATATCAACCACCTATATCTATATGACAACATTTCTGGAATACTAATATAATCATTATAAATATAGAAAAACAAATACCAGAGTGGTATTGCCTTCTTAGTTTAAAATCTAATAATACCTTCTTGCAGGGCAACACGATTATTAATAATGGGCTAGGGGATGAGTAGAGATTTGTAGATAAGATCGCATAGAATCTGGCGCTAATCGTTATCTATTCTTTGCAGAAAACGCTCGTGCGGCAGCGGTAATTGTGGAGCGATAGAAACGCCAGCGCCATGCCCATAGACATAGACGCACGACGACCAAGTGCCAAAAGCGAGAACCGAGCGTGAGCGACTGCCAGGAGCAGGATCCGTATCCGGAATCCATACGCTAGTCAAGAGCGAGTGAGAGTGCCAAGCCAAGTTGCATTTAGTTTGAGCCCCCGACCAACCCAATCCACCGCGACATGGGCAACAAGAACTCTTGCTGTGCGTACTCCAGTCCGCAATCCGACCGCAAGTCAAAGGATCTGCCGCCTGTTTTCGAGGAGCGCCATCAGCTGAGTCATCCGCCACACACGTCGCAGCACCAGCTGGACGGTCACCACGGATCCACGTCGGCGGTGCATTTGCACCATCATCACCATGGCCATCATCAGCAGCAAAACCAGCAAGGTGGAGGTGATAACTTTGAGAACCAGCAGAATCTGCAGCACATTTCCGAGCGAGAGGCTCTGGAGGGTGAGGAAGATCCCTCGGTGGATCCCACAGCGGCCACCATGTTCCTGGAACGATCCAAAGTAGAGAACGGCGGCATGACGCGAAAGCGTTCACAGCAGCAGATTGCACAGCAGGCGGGAAGCGGCGGAGGAGGTGGCGGAAGCACACCAGGAGGCAATAGTTGCGGCGGGGGAGGCGGCTTGAAAAAGAGCTCTTCCTGCTCAACGATCTATCTGGACGACAGCACTGTATCACAGCCGAATCTAAAGAATACGGTCAAGTGCGTATCGCTGGCCATTTACTATCACATCAAAAACCGACAGTCGGACCGGCGACTGGACATCTTCGATGAGAAGCTGCATCCGCTGACCCATGACCAGGTGCCGGATAACTACGACACGCACAATCCGGAGCACCGGCAGATCTACAAGTTCGTGCGTACGCTTTTCAATGCCGCCCAGCTGACGGCCGAGTGTGCGATCATCACGCTAGTCTACCTGGAGCGGCTGCTCACCTACGCCGAGCTGGACGTTGGTCCCTGCAACTGGAAGCGCATGGTGTTGGGTAAGTTTGGTTTCAAGTTGTTAGTAAACACTGCTTCGGCACCATTGATGTCACCCTGAACCACATTCTTTAATCTTTCGAGTTGGACTCCAATCTAGAAACACAAATAAAACAATACTGGGACTTCAAGTAGTAGTTCCATAGGCCCCTTTCAATCTAATTTCTATTGACTTTTTAATACATATGTGTATATATATTCACTTAATTGTTTTTCCCCAGGTGCCATTCTCCTTGCCTCGAAAGTGTGGGATGACCAGGCCGTTTGGAACGTGGATTACTGCCAGATACTCAAAGACATCACCGTGGAGGACATGAATGAGCTGGAGCGCCAGTTTCTTGAACTGCTGCAGTTCAACATCAACGTACCGTCCTCGGTGTACGCCAAATATTACTTCGACCTGCGAACGCTAGCCGAGGCCAAACGAGCTCAACTTCCCCACGGAGCCGCTGTCCAAGGAGCGGGCCCAGAAGCTAGAGGCCATGTCGCGGGTAATGCAGGACAAGGTCACCGCTGAGGCGCTGAAGAACGGGATCAAGAAGTGGTCCTCCATGGACAACATCAGTCAGGGCGGGCCGCGACGCAGCGTGGCCATACTATCGTGATTTATATTAGCTTACTAAGACGGAACAACCATCTGCAGCAAATGAGTCAAGAAATTCTGTATTCTGTAGCCCGTAGTCCGTAGTCCGATCGATCGAGACTCGAGAACCGTAGCTCCTCTTCCCTCTTTCCTCCTCTGATTCAGATTCATTTTTTAGGCTACCCGATTGAATAAAGGGTATTTTAGCCAGCACTCTAAAGGAACAACATCCACGCCCACACAACTAAATCACACTCTTATATATACACAAATGAAAAACAACGTTTTAACCACACGTCTCGAATTAAGGACCACTTTTTACATATACATGGTAACGATGTATATTCTTGTAAGCGAAACTACCGATTGCAGTCAAGGATTTGGATGATTTTAACAGATGAAGTACTACAGCAACGCGAAACCAATTGCCAAACAAAAAACAAAAGAAAACACACAGAAACAGTAGATAATTGTTTGTAAAAAGGCTTAAATATTGTAATTGACTCAATTTAATCTCAACGGTTGGCCTCGGCTGCGAAATCGTCATTTACTTAGCGTCCGCGCCCACATCATTTCCCTGTACATTTGTTACGAATTTAATTTGTTTTACTCTACGTTGCCCCAATTTTTCTTAATACCTTAATATGATTTCGTGTGATTCTTAATAGTTTCCATTTAGCTTTATAACGATGAACGAGATATTCGGCTTCCCAGCATCAGGCTTTAAGGCACAAAAGTATGGGGCGCGGCCTGCGGCAAGTTTAATTTGTTTTTTACTGGTTTTTGGCATTATAAAACAAAGAAAATCTAAGAAAGATTTTGAAAGAGCACAGCGCAATATTAACCCAAAAGATTTGTGAGTAAATTAATGTACTAGACATATAAGGATACGAATTATATGCAAAATGTATTTTATTTTGTAATTTATTTTACGATAAAGCTAAATAAAAGCAAATCAAAGAGAAACCGTTGATTTATTGTTGTCAAAAGGTACCAATATTGAAAAATATCAAAAACATTTTTATTTATTTAATATCCAGGAAGAAATTACAAAAAAAACAATTAAGACCTACAAATTGAAAACGATAAGTAACGCGCTTTTTTTCTAAAATAATCGCCGCAATGTCCATGTCACATTTGGTGTGTGCGGTATTTCATGAGTTATAAAGTAATGTGGTATATTTTCATAAGCCGGTCACACTGCTAGAGCTGGAATCATCGAATGTTGTCAAGCTCGTGGTATCGATGTTATATCGATGTTTCTTCCAGCACTATACACTGCTTCTCTCGCTCTTTCGCCCGCAACTTAAACTCTGGATCCGCGTTAAATGTTAAGAAAATAAAGACACAGGTCTAACTAATTGGTCAACATTAAGTATACAGTGCGCGGAATGCAGTTAGTGATAAGTTCAAAGTGATAATCAAGATCGAGACATAAAACTAAGATCGCCTGTGAGCTATTCGGGAACGGCGTCTGTTGAAAAGGGACGCTGCTGCAACCAGAAAAAGGAGTGGTAGCTGCTGGCCTGTGGATTAAAAAACTAACTGATTCGCTGGTGAGTAGAATTCAAATTGGCGACTTTTGCATTCAAATTGGCCAATTGGACCCGGTAGAATATTTGTGCTTAACCATTTTGCCGCCTTTTTGTGCCCAAGCCCCGAAAAAGCAGCACTATATATGGTGAGGGGCGGTGGAGAGGTTGAGATGGAGACAGCGGCAGCGAATCGTTAATAAGAACAACGCAATCGCACACACACACATGCAGGCTAGCACGCATTGTATCTGTATCTTGCGGTGTCTCTCGTACTCGCTCTCGCTCTCTCGTTGCCTCCACACCTCTACCAGGGCCGCTCTTTTAGCTATTTTGTAGCAAGTTTTTGGTAGTGCAATAATTGCAGGTGTTTGGTTATTTTTTGAAAAAACAGAACACAAGGCTGAGGTTTTCGAGTTATTACTCCTTGTTCTGAAAAAAAAGGATAATAAAATGGGATTTAGGATCGATAAGGCAATGAAATATATATTGTTATTAATTAATTACATCAGTTGATAAGACTTACTTATTTTTACGGCAGTCTTATCTGATATGATTACCACTTACAGAAATATATTATAAATAAAAAACAAAACAAAAAATATATATATTTTAGTTATTTATGTTTACAAGTACTAACACGGATTGGGCCATATAATTTATGGCTACCAGCCATACATATCTGATAGACAAACGTAAAATAAGAAAATTAAAACATAAAAAAAATAGATAAAACTGAATTATGTAGTTCGGGAGCCAAAAACAAATAAAACCCGTGAGATCCTCTCGCTAAACCGGCTGCACTGGCTCTCTCACCGGACTTTTTGTGCTTTCGGCTGTCGCCCGAACGCGGTGCACGAAGAACTTTACATCGGTCGCCTTTGCCTGCTCGCCTTCTGCTGCCTCCGCGTCTCATTCAGTTTTCAGTTTGCTTTGCTCTGTTCGCCGTTCACCACCGCCTCTCACCCGCGCGGCGTTTTGATTCTGATTGCCACTACTGTTGCACACACACACGCACGGCCGGAGAGTGTGCTGTGCCCGCCACCACCACCATTGCAATATCAAGTAAATTTTCATATACTGGCGTCATAAGAACGAACAACCGTACATTTTAAAGCTTGTAAGAACTGCAGTGTTGGATGGATGGGTATATAGAGAGAGGGAGGGGCTGGTCGGAGAAGGAGCGGTTCTGATTGGAAACAATTGTGTTTATTTGTGAAATTGGCAGGCAAAAAGAATGCCAGAAATATTAATCAAATGACTTTGCGGTCGACTTTGCTGCCAGTGTAGTGGTGTGTGAGAGTGCGAGAGTATCTGTGTGTGTGAGCTGCGCACATCACAGCCATAGAGTTCCCATTAACGTCATCATCGTGTCATTCTTACTTGTAGGAGAGAGACGGGATAAGCAGGGTTGCATTTTTCATAAATTTATTAACATAATACCATTTGAAGCGATCGGCTGCGCTTTTCAAAATTGGCACTTATTCGCCTCCATATGTTAGAATAAAACTCCCTATTCCTTCGGCTTTTCCAATTGCCTAAAACTGTATGTGTGTTTTGTTTAACAATTATGAAATGCACACTAATTGGCTGTAATGAAAATGTGACGACTCTCCAACTCGATCCTCCTTCTCTCCTTTTCCTTTTTCCGATTCGAATTCGCCGCACTCTCTCGAAATTTGAGCGACAGCCAAACAAAATTAAAAATAAAAAAGCGGCAGCAGCGACGGCAATAATTATAACTATAACTCGAATTTCGGATCTCGGCATATAGAATGTGAGCCAAAAGGCAAAACTTGTATCGACGCGCCGCCTGTACTCGCTTCTCCGACTCTCTCGCTCTCTCTAGCTTTTTACTGCTCTCTCAGCTTTCATTTTTTTGTCTCGCCTCGCTTTATTTTGTACTTACGCTTTGCGATTCAATTCGTTTTTATTGGTTTTCCGCTTTAGGCGGCTGGGAATTGTACGTAGCGTCGTTCGTGCAAAACGTTGTTGTTGTTGGGCCAAGGGGGTGAAGGGGTGGCGTTGTCGTTCAATGAATAATGAGAGACAATGTAAGGCAGAAGAGAGCGAGAGACGGAGAGCGAGCAAAACGAGAACAACACAATAAAAAAAAGCAAAGCAAAGCCGTGTACAAAAGTGCACGAAAAGCAATGGCCAAGGGAAAGAAGAGAAGGAGGCGGGATAGCAAGAAAGATACAACTTTTTTTTTCCCTGCTGGCAGCCAAAAGCAAAGCAAAGTGGGGAGAGGGAGATAAAGAGGAGAGGCCCCCCGTCTAGAATCTAGAAGAAAAGACTGACTGGCAGAGATGCACGCACATATACAGCTCTTCTAGATATAGATACAATTAATTTGATTTGTTAGCACCGTTCGCTACGAATGGGGAATAGTTCGAAATGTAAAATTTGCAATACCCATGAACAATTCCCATTCCCTTTCCAATTAGAGTTAGAATATTTTTGCTCTTCTTTTCACGCAGACGCAGCTTTAGACTTTTAGATATGTGTTTGTGACTTTTGCATATATTGACTGCAAATACATTTTCGCTTGATTTGCTTTTACCCCCTGTCCGTCCATACACGAATGTTGGTGTGTGCGTGGAAGTGGAACTGAAAATGAAACTGACAGCAAAGGGAAAAGGGGAAGACTGTACCGCGGGCCGTTTGAATATTTCGCGTAAACATAAACACCGCAAACAAACTGTTGCTCACTGGTTATTATTGTTGCCATGTCTTCTTTCTCATTTCAGCTTGCAGGTGGCCTGACCCCCAAAAGGAACGTCCATATCCATCTAAATATACTTTTAAGTCCGCTCCTGGCGAGCCCCCTGAATCGGGCCAAAAAGAGAACCACATGAGGTAAGTGATTTGAATTGCTTTAACATCTCAGTACAGGGTGACTACCGCTCACCGCCCAAAGGGTTTATTCAACCCCTTACATTTTGGAACATTATGTTGTGCCATATGGCCTTTTGTTTATTTTGTATAAAAAATTATGTTTCAAAAATTATAATCCTTTCGTTGAATACGTTAAGAACTTTTATTCTCTCGAAAACTATAGTTAGAACGTCAATCTCAGAGTTCTTAAACAATGCTTTTTGAATTACAACCGGTTTCAGTATTGTAAAATGTTAAATATTTCTAAATTGCTTAAAAAACCTTAGCAATGTTTAGCTTATCTTAAATAAAATGATCTTATCAAGGGAATAGTTTTCCATATGATTGTAAAGGAGAATTCATAATATTTAATAATGTCATCATTACTTCTACCCATTTCCCAAATGTAATATTTTTGATTGAAACATACCCGGTAGTTACACATCTTAAAATACATTCGATCAGTTAACCAAGTGCTAAGGTTTTTGACCCGCGTTTGCGGTTTGCCCTCGATTAATTCGTTTTATAGCGATGCTTGAGTTACAGTTACTTAATAGGGGGCGGGGGTCAACCCCTTTTGCAGATTGGGCCATTTGTCTTGTGTGCTTGGCTTCATCCGCACTTACATGCCCGAAACGAAACCCGCCCACTTTTCGGATAATTTTTTTTTTTCGTTTTGCCCGGGCTTGGCACAGGCACATACATGTGCGTGCAAAAAGATATATGTATGTGCATTCCTACCTCACCACATTAAAAGTGGCGCCCTTTTTAGTGTCCTTTCTCCCGTCCTGCGCTCTTCTCAATGTTTGCTGAATTATTTGCTCCAGAAAAACAAAAGAGAGTGTGAGAGAGGAATCTTCCTCCCCCTTTTGCAGTCTCTCTTTTCCAATTGCTTAGCCTGTAAGCTGTAAGCTGTAACTGTAAAGCGCTTAGCGAAAAGGGACAAAACCAGGACCTATGCAAACACTCCCCTCCTCTCCCGCTCATGCGCGAGCTCTACCTCTCTTCTATTTGCTCCCCTTCTCCAGTATCGCCCTCCACCATCCATCTTTAATTCGCAGCTCGGTTTTTCCTACACACATACGCACACGTTTACGCGTTGTCTTTAATCGATTTGTACTTCTTGATATTTACATCCTCCATTTACCCCCTCTCTCTTTGCGCTCTCCCGCTTTCTCTCTCTATCCTGCTAGCATACTCTGATTGGATATCTAAATCCCTGGATCCTGCCCCTCCCTCAGTTTAACAGCCTCAAATCCCAGCTCCACTCCCATTTTTCGTGTCCCTGCCATTCGTTTTGGCTGCCTTTTGCCATTTACAATTTATATAAAGTTATTTCATTGTGCTTACTCTCCGTCTGGCCCTTCGTCTTCTTCCTTCTTTTGCTGATGAAGACATAGTAATGTGGGTGTGTTTGTGTTGGTCTGAGTTTGGGTGTGAGTCCTGTGGTCCGCTAATGGGCAATTTATATCACTTTTAATGCCCAGCAGCAAAATCAATAAAACGTAGAGCTGCCCAACATCTTTTTACATAAATTAGTCCTGGGTGATGATTGTTTGCAGTTTAAGTGTGTGTGTGTTTAAGCTCAACTGTACTTACAAAACGTATGCATGTACACACATGCACATGACATTCGCATTGTTGAAAGGGTTAATGGTCGCACATTGCACTGCAAATCCGTTATGCCCTTCAGTAGCAGAAAGCATAATACCAACACTCCCACTGTGATGTAACCTTTGTCCGATCATGGGACACCATATGGCCAAGGAATCTTGAATAATGGCAAAGCAATCGCCTTAAGGTATGCATCATTTTATTACGAGGACAATGAAATGGTGGCAATGTAATGCATATATACTTTTTTTATACACTTAAAATCAAAAGACCATATATTATTTTATTTATATCACTTATTTATAGAATTTGTAGATAAAATATAACTAATAAAATTAAAGATTGATTATAATGATTTTATGTTATTTATCTTTTTATTTTGAATTTTACACATTTGGTAGAGAAATACCTTCACATCAATACATTTGATTTTTTCTATAATTTTCATCCATTTCCAGGTGAACGATAGAATTTGGCTGTGCGCCAATTACACTGACAAACGGATCAAGCTGCGGTAGCAACAACACCAACCCACAGGAGGAGCAAAAGCAGCAATTTCATGGTAATTGTCCCCGTCAGCGTTGAAATAAAACAACCAAGAAAAATACCTGTGCAGCCTGAGATTAAGTGACACAACCTACACCTTCCACTTGCCTTTTTTGTTTGTTGTAGCCACGCTCAGCGAAAGCAGTCGACAGCAGCAACAACAGCAATATGTAGGCGCTCCACAGCAGCAACACATGAAATACAGGCAAGAACAGCAGCAACAACAACTACTTCAACAAACCCCAACAACAAGATAAACCAATATATATCCTAAAAACAACACAACAACATCCTTAAGATATAAAAGCCAGGGCAGGAGCAACGCCACAACGATCGCCTGGATCTGGACACAAGAATGCAGCACGTGAGCGCTGCCAGCTCGGTGCCATCGGTAGTAGCCCCTGTTGTGACCACTGGTGGGACGACGATCACTTTGGGCGGCCCACCGCCGCTCCCCAAATCGGAGCACAAAGAGGATGGCAAGCCACCCCACGGCATTGAAATGTACAAGGTGAACATCGAGGACATTTCGCAGCTTTTTACTTACCACGAGGTCTTTGGCAAGATCCACGGCGATGTGGTCAATCATCAATTGGCGGCGGCCCATGGAGGTCAGTTGCCACCACCTCCACCGCTACCGCCACAGGTCAGCAGTCATGCGGCGAGTGCAGCAGCAGCCGCAGCAGCAGCATCCACTAACAATGCCGCCGTGGCAGCGGCAATGGCATCAGCGAATGCAGCAGCGGTCGCGGCGGCAGCTGCATCGGCGGGGGGACTACCGCCGGCCACCAGCGGCAATGGAGGCCAGCAGGTGACGGTGACGACGACCAGCAGCTCGACAAGCAGCGGCGGGAGCACCACCAGTGGGGGCACCACGACCACGGCGGGTGAGTTGCTTATGCCTAAAATGGAGGGCGGCATTCATGGCGTGGACGGCAGCGGCAATGGCGGCGGGCAGAACGTGGCGCTGGCGCCGGACGGTACGCCCATTGCGACGGGGACGCACGTCTGCGACATTTGCGGCAAGATGTTCCAGTTCCGGTACCAGCTGATCGTGCACCGACGCTACCACAGCGAACGGAAGCCGTTCATGTGCCAGGTGTGCGGCCAGGGGTTCACCACGTCGCAGGATTTGACGCGCCACGGCAAGATTCACATTGGCGGGCCCATGTTCACCTGTATCGTGTGCTTCAATGTGTTCGCGAACAATACGAGCCTGGAGCGGCACATGAAACGGCACTCGACGGACAAACCGTTCGCCTGCACCATTTGCCAAAAGACCTTTGCCCGCAAAGAGCACCTGGACAATCACTTCCGCTCGCACACGGGCGAAACGCCCTTTCGTTGCCAGTACTGCGCCAAGACGTTCACGCGCAAGGAGCACATGGTCAACCATGTGCGCAAACACACGGGTGAGACGCCACATCGTTGCGATATTTGTAAGAAGTCCTTTACGCGCAAGGAACACTATGTTAACCACTACATGTGGCACACTGGTGAGTGTGATTGATTGGTGGGGGCGGACAATGCGAGCGGCGAGCGCCAAAACAAAAAGACAGATCAGAATCTCTCAGAACTAAAAAAAAAAAAAAAAAAAAAAAAAATACTCCAAGACCAACTTCAGTCAGACCAAATTCTATCCATAGAGTACAAGAACAACAACAGCCATCACCACATCACACCAACCAACCAAGAACCAAGTCAAAAATTCAACCAACCAACCAAACCAATCAAAAAGAATTGACAACAAGCACCGCAAAAAAATAATATCAATTCATCGTGCGTCCTTCGTCTTCTTCCTCCCACTCTCTCACACTCTTCTATCTCGCTCATCGCTTGTGCTTCTTCTACCCGCCACCTCCCAAAGTCCCACCCACACAGAAAGAAAAAATATAACTTAAAATTGGTCAATAATTTAATATTTCTTAAATATTACCATCAATCAAATTTCATTCCGTTTCCAAAATTTGAAACATTATTTATACACTAAATCAGCAAGAAAATGTAAGAAATGGTTTGAACTTACAATTTTTTTATCTTTCCTAATGTTTAGAACTTAAATGGATATTTTAATATAAAAAATTCTGATCAAATAGAAAATGTAAGTGTTAAACAATCATTGGCGTTGTTGAAAAGTATGTCATTAGGATTTTCTGAATCCATTGCCTACTTTGCGGCACTCCAGTTATTGTTTTGAAATCAACGTTTTCGGAAAGGATCTGTCAGAATTGAGATAAAGCTAATAACGTTCTGATTTTTTTTCTCTGTGTCAACTAACGCTTGAAACGAGCGAATCTCCGTCGATTTGGAGAACGCTCCTCGCCTAATCCCGCTATAAAATCAAAAGAAAAAACACGCTCACTCGCTCATACCGCTCCATTTCCCCCCAACCATGATCTCTGCATCACACATCCCCAGCTTCACCAAGTCTAAATCATGCTCACATGCACCACCAATCCAAACATTTCATCCAGTGCTCGCTCCACTCCACAACTCCAAGTCCATGTCCAATCCTTCACTCCCGAATCGATTCGATATTTAAAGCCTGTATAACTTTGTCTACGCTCTCTCTGCTGTCGTACAGGGTGCTCCAAGCAATGAAAAGTCAAGAAAGTCAAAAAAAAAAACTAAAAGTTCGTTGTTGCTGCTTGTCGATTGCCAACGTCTCTGTGTAACTGCGACATTTAAAACACGATCACACATACAAAAGCAATTGGAACACACACAACACAAGACACACAGAACACATAACAGCTCACCTGCATAAATATCTGCTATGTAGGGATCTAACTATATTTTTAACTCTTTGGCGAATCTTTTGACCGGGACTACACGTTCCACGCAAAAAACGAAAAGAAATCAAGAGAAAAAGCATCCTGAAGACCAGCATTGAGTAGAAGCAGAGTTGACAGGCACACACTAAAACACACATCCAATGAACATCCAACACCACATACAATCCACACCACATCTGACACCACCACGCCCACGTCCATATGCCCGAGCCAGCAGCCTCCGTTCGCTTCGTTCGTTCGAAACCACAACAACGCAAGCCACGGCCAGTTTCACACCAAACAGAAAAAAATGAAAAAATTGAAATACATTAAAAAACCCACCCACCCACGCTGCCACCCAACCACAAACACCAAAAAGAAAAATAAACACTGAGCGGTGCGCGGAGATGGGTGGGGGGATCTGAAATTTTGTTTTTTCTCCAATATCCCACTATTTCTCCAAACGGTTCGCATCGATCCTTTTGGAGAAATAGCCGGTTGATATACAAACTAAATGAGAGAAAGAAGAAAATGCTTGCGCTAACGAATGCGATTTTGTCTTGTCGAACGAGATCAAACGCCATTCCCTATATACAACAATTCCGTTCTGTTCTGCTACCCTCTCCCATAAAATCCAGGTCAAACGCCGCACCAGTGCGATGTCTGCGGCAAGAAATATACGCGCAAGGAGCACCTAGCCAACCATATGCGATCCCACACCAACGAGACGCCGTTCCGTTGCGAGATCTGCGGCAAAAGCTTTAGCCGCAAGGAGCACTTCACCAATCACATACTTTGGCATACAGGTAAAGAGACAAAACGAATCGTAAGCCCGATTCCTAAACCCCCGATCCTGCAACATCCAGCCCCCCAGCTAATGATTCCTCCAGCTACAGCCCACCACCATACATTAAATACCTTGTATACACAGACACTTGGCGGTGCATTTGGTGCTAAAGCAGCAATAACGAACTCTCGGTAGGATTGAGGTGTAAGCTAGGCACATTCCACTAACAATAGTGGATCAATCTGGCATTTTGTTAAATGTTTAGAATTTGCTTAGAGTAGCTAAATTATTTTTGAAACGTAGTATAACTTCTGGGTTCTACTTCTAATAACTAAAATCATTTCTATTTCAGTTGGTTCCAATAATCCGAAATTTATAGTCTGTCTTAATTAGTTTTTGTAAAATAATGAATTATGAAAAAAAAGTTATGTTGCCCTATGAAGGTATTATTTCTGTCTTTATGCAAAACGCAGTGCTTCTCCCCCGTCGCCTACAGGAGAAGCGACCAAAAACCATGCCACGCCAGGTGTCCAGTAACCCGCATCCAGCTAGCCCATACCATGACCGCCCCCCTGTTCCATGGCGATGATTACTAATCTCTAAATATTTTCTTGTCCCATCCGCGCGACACACACACATTTGCCACGCAAGCAGGCGAGACGCCGCACAGGTGCGACTTCTGCTCCAAGACGTTTACGCGCAAGGAGCACTTGCTAAACCACGTGCGCCAGCACACGGGAGAGTCGCCGCACCGCTGCTCCTACTGCATGAAGACGTTCACGCGCAAGGAGCACCTGGTCAACCACATACGCCAGCACACGGGTGAGACACCGTTCAAGTGCACGTACTGCACGAAAGCGTTCACGCGCAAAGATCACATGGTTAATCATGTACGGCAACATACAGGCGAGTCGCCGCACAAGTGCACGTACTGCACTAAGACGTTCACGCGCAAGGAGCACCTGACGAACCATGTGCGCCAGCACACGGGCGACTCCCCGCACCGCTGCTCCTACTGCAAGAAGACGTTTACGCGGAAGGAGCACCTGACGAACCATGTGCGCCTCCACACGGGCGACTCGCCGCACAAGTGCGAGTACTGCCAGAAGACGTTTACACGGAAGGAGCACCTCAACAACCACATGCGCCAGCATTCGAGTGACAATCCGCATTGCTGCAATGTTTGCAACAAGCCGTTTACGCGCAAGGAGCACCTGATCAACCATATGTCGCGGTGCCACACCGGCGACCGGCCCTTCACCTGCGAGACGTGCGGCAAGTCGTTCCCGCTCAAGGGCAATCTTCTCTTCCATCAGCGCAGCCACACCAAGGGTCAGGAGATGGAGCGGCCCTTCGCCTGCGAGAAATGTCCCAAGAACTTCATCTGCAAAGGTGAGTACGCTCTATGATTGCTGCTGCGCGTTGCATGTATCCAGTGGAGGCACGCGTGGCGTGGCGTCAGCATAGTGTCCCAGCCCCAGCTCCAGCTACAGTCACAATACAAATATACCGTGCCCGATCCCATCTCCCACCTTCTAGTTGCTGTTGTGGGGATTGCTCTCACAGCTTCCGTGTCTTTTTGGCGGTCTCGTACAGTCTAAAACCTAAAACACGTCTATTTATTTTCCAAATTATAGCACTACTTTTTATTTGTGTGATTTAAAAATTAACATATTTATTATAACTATATTTAAGATTTATTTAAAAAAAAAACCCCCAACCTAGCGTTAACCCCAGAAAGCTCATTATGTATGCAGACAGAGACTGTGAGAGCAAGCCCCCAAAAATTACCTGAGCCGTTTTCGAAATTCGAGACCCCCGACGATCAGATCTTCATGTCGCTTCCATTGTCCGTTTCGCAGGTCACTTGGTCTCGCACATGCGCTCCCATTCGGGTGAGAAACCGCACGCGTGCACTCTGTGCAGCAAGGCGTTCGTCGAGCGCGGCAATTTGAAGCGCCACATGAAGATGAATCACCCGGATGCTATGATGCCGCCACCACCCGTGCATCCGCATCCGCAAATACCGGCTGGTGTGCTGACGCAAGTCAAGCAGGAAGTGAAACCGATCATAAGTGAGTCGGCAAACACGACTGCGCTCGCGCAATCGAGTCCCCCAGTGCCCAAGACGCCCAACTTAATCGGCCCTTGTACCGTTTCAGTCCCCCACCACTCGGCGACCACCACGATGCACACCATCCAGCAGATCACGGCGGGAGCGGCGGGCGGAGCCGGTGCAGTGCAGCTTACCCCAGGCCTGGTGCCCCTGGTCACCTCCACGCTCATCTCGCATAATGCGGTTGCCCAGCAGCAGTCGCAGAAACAGCAAGCCGCCGCAGCTGCAGCAGCCCAGCAACAGGCCGCCGCAGCAGCTGCTGCCCAACAGCAAGCAGCCCAGCAACAGGCGGCTGCTGCACATCAGCAGCATCAGCAACAAGTAGCCGCCCAGCATCAGCAACAGGCCGCAGTGGCTGCCCATCAGCAGCAGCAACAGCAGTTGCAGCAGCAGCAACAACTGCTGCAGTTGTCCATCCAGCAGGCAGCTCACCATCATCAGCAGGAGCAGCATCGCCAACAACAGCAACAGCAACATCAGCAGCAACAACAACAGCAACATCATCAGCAGCAACAGCAGGGTCACCCTCAGGCCCCGCCGCCGCAGCAGCAACAGCAGCCGCCGCCCATCGCCCTGATCAGCGATCCAAGTGCTCTGGCACGCGCGGCTATTCAGCTACAGCATCTGCCTGCGAACGTGGAACAGCACCCTGTTGTTTACTAACAGTAGCCCCTCCTGCACGGCTACACTCCCACCACAGCCCACTCCAGCAGCACGACCAGCACCTCCATAGCCGCAACAGCGGCCGCGGCTTCGACGCAAGCGGCGTGGTGAGGCCAAGCTTGGCACCAGTGAGCCAGTGTGCTATTGAGCCGAGCTGACGCGACATCTCTTTATAGGACACAACCCATAACAAGCACACCCCATATAAGCAGCTAGTTGTATGTACAATAGTTTTAGCAGCGCGCTGGTTACGCTGATCTGTGACCCCAGACGAAAATTAATTATGTGCATGGGTTCTAGGGTGTGTCGATTTTTAAAACTATATTCATGGGAAAATCTATCCCATTGCTCATTTACCGAATGTGGAATAATATTTTAGAATTTGCACGATAAATATTTAATAGGGGTTGCTATGGAAGTTTCTGCATTTTAAAGCAGAAAATTGTTTATATTTTAGTTTTCATAATATACACTTGTTATCTGGTTTTAAAAATCTTTAGTAACTTCTATGCAACTCCTATATTTTTTTTAGAAAAATATGAATTTAGTAAAACTTTTAATAACGTCCCAGAGTTATTTATTCGCTTTTTGGGTCGACAAAAATCGAAACACCCTAGAGAGATAATTACAGATTGTGCTCTGTATTACCATATGCAATACTGGCTCGCCTTTTGAGCTATCTTTCTCATTTCCCAATCGCAAGCAAACTCAACACTCATTAACTAGTCTGCCGCCGCCAGCTTTAACGTGCAATATGAATCATCTCATAGTTTGTTCTTGGTATCTCTCTTTGTGTATCTTTAATGCTTAGGCGCTTAGCGTCTAGTTTTATTCACGTGTTTTCTACATTTCTGAAATGTGTGCCAGGCGGCGCGTGGTTTTGGGTGAATCAATCGATAGGGTTTTTGTGATATCTGATTGCCACTCAGCTGTGCTCAGTGCATCAATCGCTCCCAAAGTCTATGAGCGACTCACCCAATCTTCTCGCAAGACATTTTATAGTAGGGGTTTATTGTGGCCGTAACCAGCGGAAGCGCACCATCTTGTATTTTTTATTGTGTTTCGACTAAGTTATGATTATATCCATACGGAGCGACATTCATAGAAAGCATCCTCATCATACATAAACATATGCAAATAATGCATAGGCATACGATTATAATATATACTTATAGTTTGTAAATAACACGCAACAAGACCCTTGGAAATCTATCGAAAATTATTATTACAATTGTATTATTTTTGCATTTTCCAAGGCGGATCATTGATAACGAGCAAACACTCATACACACGATCGCATATATTGGCCAAGTGTAGTCCTTAACCCAGTTTACAATACCAAGCCCCAAAAGGGGGATAATGAGATATATATATTATTATATGAAAGCGGAAATAGAATCAGCATAACAGCAGACACAACTAACGAAAGAGAATGATGGAAGGGATTAAACAAACAAATTATTATATTTAATGTTAGTTGAACTACTAAAAGTAATAATTGAGAAATCTAACCGACCGCAAGAATGGAGAATACGAGTTCCCCATGGGCGAGCGAGTAGTTTTTAGTTGGGCGTGTCGCCCAATCATTATGATTACAATTACAATTACGATTATGATATATGAATACTAAACCTATAACAACAAGTTATTACCCCACTATTACAGTTAACAAACAACAACAACAACCCATACATATATATATACGACTAGGCACAACTCTAAAATTAATTATAACCCTTAACTGTGCTTATGTTGAAAACAACAAACATTAAGAACAAGTTAGAACAGTAACGAAAGAATAAAAAGATGAAACAATTGACGAGACAGCCCCAAGCGCCACAAGCAACAACATATCTGCTTTAAATTTTACAAAAAAAAAAACAAATAAAATAAAAGTGAGAAAAATAAAAAAAGCCAACATAAACACGAGTCACCGTTTACTAATTTTATGATGAAACACAATACACCGACATACTGACAGATACACACATTATGCTTCCTTTTAAATGCAACATTTTACACATTTAATTTTCATGAGTTAAATGCTTAAATTAAAATTTAATTTAATTTTTAACAAACTGTAACTGTACACAAATAAACGGAAAATGTAAAACTGTTTGTTTGACCATTTGAAGACACGACTTGGTTTTATTTACCTTAATATAATTTAATCAAGTTTATTGGCAGCGAAGTGAAAGTTTTTAAATACACTAAGAATGCAGGGAACAATTGAAAATTGTAAAAACAAATCATCATTGAAACATTCAACATGTTTTTGCTTTAACAATCTGAAATTTCTTGATTTTGAAAGTCGCAAACACACACTATCATACGTCTATAATTATGTAGTTGATTATCTGTGTTAGTTTTCGGTGTTTTGAATTTTTGGTGATGTGTATAGAGCGCAGTATATAAAATGCATATAGAGATATATATTATTGTACGATTATTAACTAATATATAACGGATATGTATGTGTAGTTTGTGAAAGGCAATTTTAAGTACGACCCCAAGGAGAAAATTCACTTGTGTTGCAATATTGAAAGAAACGAAATAGTTTATTTGTAAGTTGCGTAGTGCATAACGTGAGAGTAGATATAACTTTCTCCACTCCAGACACACACCCATTAACCTTAATAAAACATACGCTGGGAAAGCGCTGAAAATGTATCCTAAAGGCACCGAATATAAAGGAGAAAAGTGAACAGGAGAAGCTGAAGAAAACGCTTGGAACGCCCCAATTAACGTAAACATTAAAAGCAACAAACAGTAACAATACTAAATAGAAACAATAATGTACTATAAATCAGATACAATACAACACTATATATACCTAAAATATATGCCTATACGACAGAAATTGGACAAGAAAATATATATATATTATATATAGTATATATTGTACAAGTTACGAGTAAACTGTAATTAAAATTGATGAAGTAGTAAGCACTAAACAAAACAAATAAATGAGCAGCAAAAAAACGCGCAGCATAAGCATAAAACGGATTTTGAATTTAAAATTGTATGATTAATTCATTAACCATATTTCTTGTTTACCTGTATTATGCCTTAATGGCTGTTGGTTAGTTACTTCCAGGAGATCTTGCCCAAAATCCTATATCCTTAACGATATTCGATGGGCTTGACATTTTTTGGAACTAGGCGTACGTTTTACTTTAAAAATATATAGAATATAATAATATATGCTCTATATGGACACTTGGAATTTCCTGAAGTAACTTTTAGAAAAACAAGGTTTTTTTAACAATTTTAAACTACAGAATGTTTAAAAACTATTCATCGATTCTTATTACTTTTAAAACTATCGTTACGTTTGCCCACCTCCAGAAGGATAAAGGCGTTTAGGTAGCGCGAATTTCGCCCGTTTTGCCTGGAAAACCACCCCTAAATGACCTTCACTACCTACTGTGCCATCATCTGGCCGTGGCAACGGCGCAAATTCGTTAGTATTCCAAACAGCACGATCGAGAACACACCGCAAATGACGTCCGCAACTGACACAGGTAAGGAATGTGCAAAAAAGTCAACCTTGAACGCATTAAGATCGTCCTTCGCCCTTTCAGCACCAACGGCTGCTTCTTTGTTGCAGCTAAATGATGATGTTTTGGCTTTGATCATCCGCCAGCTGAATGTTTACCAGCAGTACGAGATCGGCAGGTTGAACAGGCGTTTGCAAAGCATAGTACAGATGCTGTGGAGAACCCGTGTTCGGAATGTTGTCCTACAGGACGAGATGTTCCGACGATCGGGAGCCACTTCCAGGCAGTTTGTCAACTTTATCTTGTCATTGGCCCCTTACATGGAGCGCTTGAGCTGCCAGCATTTGGATGTGCGAAAACTTCGGCTTCTTAGCAGTCATACAATAGAGGGAATCCAATCCCTGGAATGGTACGGCGATGCAAATCGACGAGGGCGGGTTCGATTTGTAGACGAGGATGTGCGACTCCTGCTCCGAGTATTTCCCAACTTAAGGATGCTCAAACTTCGGAGCTGTCAAATCACTGGAAAGTACCTGTGCGAACTGGAACACCTTACCGAACTCTGCCTGGATGATTGTCAGTTCCTAGAGTCTCAGCACTTCAGGGACATTTTCAGGCTGCTGAAACTACGTAAATTTGATATTATGGAGGACTGTGATGAGGTGAACTGTTGTGATCTCGCGGATCTGCAGCTATGTCCTACGTTAGAGCATATAAAGATTGCCGATTACCACTTGTGTATGGAGTCGGATATAACACAGCAACTTCTAAGATTGCCTCGCCTGCAAAAGTTGTCGATTTACTCAAAAAACTTTGTCTTCGATGTACTGTCTCGGATAGCTCGTCCGAGCAGTCCTCCCGGAGCAGTCAGAGTCATCGAGGCCTTTCGTTTCAGTGGGATCCTTCATGATTATGGAAGATTCTTCAGAGAGCTCGGAAATCTTAGACAACTGACACGATTGGAGCTACATGGTCAGGTAGAGGTGGAAGAGGATGGTCAGTTACAATGCCTAGAGGATCAGATGCTTCGGCAACTGGCCAATCATCTGCGTGAGCTAACTGAACTCCATTTGTGTGGTTATCAGTTGGAGAGTCCTTTGGGCCTGTTGGAATTTGTGATCAATTGTCGGCAGCTGAGAGTCCTGGACATCACCCGGACTCAGTGCCATGGAGATACCTTTATCTGGAGCTGCATTGCCGTTTTGGCCAAGCAAAGGTGGCGTAGTCAGCCATTGGAGCTGTGGATCAGGCATACCGACATCAATCAGGAAATAGTACATAGTCCGCGCTGCTTGGACAACGTAAAAGTGATAAAGATTGATGCCAAGCAGATCGGATCCAATACGGATTATACATCTGGGGTGCTTAAGTTCAGTTTCGCACGCTAATCTGTTCTTACCATTGATTGACTGTCAGTTTTTCGAGTACCATCTATGGTGTATACGTAAACTGCTCAGCCCATACTGGTCGCATAAAAAAAAGTTTTAAACTTAAATCTTATTCACAATGTATATAAATAAAATATAAAATAAACTTACCAAATTATTCACATTTTCGAATTTTTAACTGGAAACCCAGAAGAGATTTCCAGTCGTTGTCGAAGGATACATTCATTTTGGGGGTTATCAAAGACTATTTAAAATACATATGTATATAGAGAAATCTTTGGAATGTGCGTCAATCCAAATGAAATTCGAATTCAGAGCTAAAACCTCGTCGTAAAGTCAAACTTTTGACCGATGCCCACGAGGATGACCAAATGCGCCAGCCTTTCCGCCGAGCCTCCGTATACTTAAACCTGCTGCTTATAACCGAGGCTGTGATCGGACTGCTGATCCTGTTGGTGACCGCCTACTACCACACTCTGTTCGCTGGATATTTGTCGGAGATCGAGTGCCGCCTGGTCTACGGTTATCTGTTTGGAATCTACGTTTTTGGTGCCCAGCTGGTGGTTATCTTCCTCTGCAGCTTAGCCATGTGGCGTCGAGTTTGGAGACGACGTTGCACGCCCAACATTCGGCTTCTGCTATCCATTTGGGCCTTCTACTCCTGCGTAATCATAGCCTCTGGTTTTGGGTGTGTTTGGAACCTTTATCATAGCATCGATGTGCTGGAGAATGCGGCAGATACCTCGTTGACAAGGGGCATCGATATGTACTACACCTGCCCCGAGTGGAAACTCCTATGGGATGGCCTGCAGTGGCACAAGGAGTGTTGCGGAGTGCATGGCTACAAGGATTGGATGAGCGCGGAGTGGATGCCGAAGGTGGAAGGCAATTGCTCATCAATGATCCTGGCACCTTACGCCTGCTGCAAGCGATCCTGCGAGAGCTGCTTCAACAACATGTTGCCCGGCGACGGGCAGTCTATCCGTGGTAGCAACCAGCAACCTTTTCCCGCCCTCACAGTCGACTCCATCAATGCGAATGGGTGTCTGCCAGTGTTCGTAGATGCGGTGTGGAACTTCTTCTATATCCTGTTAGCGTTATGGGTCCTATCGCTAAAGTTTCTGGTGAGTACAAAGCTGGCTTGTTTTTATCAATGTACATCTGCATTAGGAACAACAAAATCTTTATCTTTCTGGGCTTAAAGAGCTATACGGCTCGAAATAAATTCAAAAGCTAAAAGGGATTTCCAAGACTATAATAAAAAGTAAAGCCATCTTTTTTTAGATCGTACTCTGTTGTATGACCAAGTTTATACTTCACCGGCAGAATGAGGGAGATGGCTGTGATAATGTGGGACTGACAGACGAAGATGGGCATCCGTTGGTCGTTGTGGTGGGTTTGAAATAAAGTATTTTCCTTTTAAATTTTCTAAAAAATTTAAGTCCTTTAGAAATATCCAAGCAATGTTCGTTGTGTAACAATTGGCGAGGACGATCTGGTTTCGGACAACATTCCCGATGCCAACTACTGCAACTGCAATGAACTGGATGAAGAGCAGTGTGATTACTAAGTTGTTCTTTAATTTCGTATTTATTTTTATATTTTGTATTCGTTTAATTTAAATGTTTTGGTTAGTGTATTAATCAAAAGAAAAAAGGAAAAATGTAACTTTGGAAACGCTTACTAATTAAAGCTTTAAATTGTAACTTTTTTATATTCTTTACAGAAAATGTTTACATCTTTTGTTATTCGAACTTGGCTAGAAAATGTCGTAAATGCAAGAATTAGATGGTTATTTTGGATAACCTAATTAGGTAAAATTTGATTATCCGATGATGATCATAATTATATAATATTAGCTATGTCATTAGCTGCTGCATTATTGCAAATGCGCTTAGAGTCTTTCAAAGACTGGACCACCATGCGACTAATGCGCTTGCGCAGGACCAAAAAAGGCTTCTCGCAGATGCGCTCTTGGACAAGATGAACAGATACACGGTGAAAGAAGCCAGTAACATCCAGAGGCTTAGCCAGCTGTGCTGGTGGCGCTGAAGCTGTATCTTCCCCAAGAGTTTGGGAAGTAGTATTGGTCTTATTGATCAAGCCCATATTGCTCCTACTACGCCTAGAAACACGTCTTCCAATAGAATCCGGTGGGCCAAAGTCAGCTCGAGAAATGGCAAGAAGTTGAGCAATGCCCGAGGGTTTTGATGGAGAAGGCTCTGGTGACTTGATAACTGGATCAGGGCAATGGGAGTTATCGACTGCAAGTGCTGAGGTAACCGTAACCTCGGCTGTCTTCGATGGACTGTTAGCACGTTTCCTGATGGGAAATCGGAAGTTCTAATCAGAGGCAGCTGATATAAATTCGAATAAGTGGACTTACGGTGTGCCAGTTTCGTAAGAGACATTCATGGACCAATCAGCACCATCCAAATCCGTCCTTGGAGTATCCATGCAAATAAATATGAGATCACATTCTACACTATATAAAGGTTTACTTACTCATCTTCATTTGAAATTTCATCCTCATCCTGTTCGCTGTTTCTAATTTTAATGTGCATACATACATTAGTGAGTCTTTTAACTATGAAAACGTCATAAAAAATTACTTACGGCTGAGATTCGTTAGTATCATTATCATTTCCAGATTTCCTATTCAATTTAAAAAGTTATTATAAGTTATTGCACATCAATAAAAAAAGGACAAGACTTGCAAAGATTCTTGGGCCTCGTCATCATCACCCACAATATGAGGAACCTTCGACAGGGACCTGTAATGCAGATCAGTTTAAGCTTTAAATAAACAAACTTTTAAAATTTTAGTTACATTTTAAATTATTTCTCAAGTTTTAAATTTTTCGAAGTGAAGATGCGAAAAGCGGTGTGAAAAGTAACACTAATAGTCAGTGTGGCCGTTTATTAGCAGCACGTGCATTAAAAATGAATTGGTGTTGACATATTTAAGACTACACATATGTCTGTATAAAATATATATTTAGGGTAAGATATAATTTTTGTGTATATACCTATAAATTGACTTATCCAAAAAACTGGATTGTAACAATTCCAACAATTCATTCTTTGACAGTGTTGCACAACGAATTTCAATACATACCTACTGTACTTATTTACATACATACATATGTATGTATGTACTATGAGAATTAACCAAAGACATATTATTTAGGTACTGTCTTTAAGCTTGAAATAACTTAACTTCCATTATATTGCATTTAATCTATCTATAATATTGCATATACTCTCGTTTTCTGAAAGAATGTACATATGTACATATGCAGATTATAGAATTTGAACAAGATTCGCATCCTGCATTGGATTAAACATGCGAGGTTTTTAATAATGGGTTCAAGTCATACATACATAGATAACGTTACATATTTAATATTTCTTTATAAGACATTTTTAAGGTTACAAAAATCGTATTTCCAAATTGTAGAAGGGCGTATGCTGTTACCACAAAATAATGGCAGGAACATCCTATTCATCGTTATGCTCAATAATTTCTGAGAAATCGGAGACAGCGACGCTGCTGGTGCTGACCAAGTGGCGATCGGGCATTTCGCCAATTGATAAAAGAGAGCTAGTGTCACTGACGCTGGATACAGATGCATTATCCCAGCTTACGCCTGAATCGCCCTGGACCAGGGAAACGGGAGTAGCATCGGGATTGTGGGGTTGCTCCTCCTGATCCAGTCCATTCAGGTCCACTGATTGTCTGGTACGCTTGCTATTCGATTCGAAGATGTGGCTGTTATTCCCAACACTCCTCTTACGGTTGGGATTTCGTCTTTCCGTCGTAGGACTCCAGTCCATCGGAGCATGAACTAAAGCCCGAACAGTCAAGCGGACTGGCAAATTGGGCGGACTGTCAAAATATAAGGAATTTCTTCTCAACGGTTGAGGAGATAAGATCATCGTCGAGTTGTGTAAGGCACTTGGCTGCGAGGACAAAAACTCCAACTCGCTCGCCTGTGGAAATTGACTGAGTTAAGTAATTCATGGGTGAATTGTCATTATTTCACCAGCAAAGCTCTCTCCAGTTGTTGATCCTCCGGTTCGATTTCGGTCGACCTTTCCAAGACCCTAGCCATTTCGTGCATTTCCTCAATATCCATATCAGCTTCGTAAACGCCAGCGCCTGCGCAAACAAAACCATTTAAATCCTTGGGGTTTTAATAAAGCTCGATAGGTTTTACTTTTAAGGAAGTCTACTAATTTTTTGTGAGTTTGACTGCGCAATTCCATATTTAATGACGAAAACAAAACTGCAATTTTGAAGTATTTTTCTTTTAATGCTTTTGCTCTTTTTCTCGGTTCTAACGGAACTATTCTTTAGACTTAAGTCGACCACCAAAACACAAGCGCCTTATCGATAGTTGTGATCGCATGTCATGGTCACACTTAGAGATGGTGAAACTTCTTATTAAGCTTAATAAATAGGGTATTCCATTTATTAATAATATTTAACTCAATTCAACGTAGTCGAATAACTATAAAGATTACAACAATACCTATAACATCATTTTGACGTATACATAAAGGAGGGGATCGTTTGAGTTTAAAACAGGCAATTGGATATTAAGAAATTCGTTTAAATTGATAATTGATTGATTTAAATTTTATTTAAGAAGTCTTTTATGGTTTTTCATTATTTAAATTAACTATTTAAATTGACAAGTTTCTAGAAAAATGAAAAGAAAATAAAATCCCTTTACTACGTGGAGTATCGGGCTTAAAAAACAATTTATGTGTAAAAAGCTTGAGTCCGAAACTGGGAACTTTTAACACCAGCTCAACGAAGTTTGAAATCATGTAAAAAGTAAACGCTTTGCAAACTTTTTGTGTGGTCAACCTGCTAACCAAAGTTGTAGCTTTTGCTGCCCGCAACGTTGGCAATTGTTTTTCTAATTTAAGCAAAAAGGAAAATGCGTCTCTCTGCATTTTGCATTTGCATGGCCAGCCACCTGCGAATACTCTGCTCCCTTGACCCCGCCCCTTTCACTTTTTACATACTACTCATTCTACCGCACCTTAACCCCACCCACTGACCCCTGGCCTTTCAAACCAAAAGCGACAACCGAGTTGAAATTCAACAAAATGTCAAAATGCCACTTGAAGTCAGTTTGCCTTTTTCGCTGCCCATGCAGCGCGTTTTCGACCCGAAAATTGTTCTCTATGTAGAACAGTTTTCAGCTTGACTTTCTCCCCTTGGTAAGTTTCAATTCTACTATACATACATTAAGATCGTATACGGATCAGAGTGCCACAGAAATAACTATAGGTTTTGATTTATATTCATGGCTTACTGAGAACTTTAAATATTTGTTTTTATTTTTTTGTTTATTTATTTTTTTCTTATCTGAGATAAGTGCTATGTAGGAACTATCTATTCGGAACGTAGAGGTATTTCCACATTCGAATCTTAAAAACTGAACACTGTCTTTCCTTTTTATATTTTTTGTATAATTTTTTTTCTGACACATTTTTCTATATGACCAAACTCTCTTGCTGGTTAAAACAAGCGCCACCAAAAAATAAAGAGGACAAAAAATAGGAAAAGTTTCGATGTCGTCGCGTTGGCGAGCATTGCTTCTTTTGCATAGGAGTCGCCACGGAGTCCCAACTGCATTTTGCTCCACTTCACCCCCGTCGTTCCGCTTAAACCTCAGCTTCACTGGCACATCAAACGCAAATAAATACAGAAAAAAAGGAAAGAAATGGAAGAAAAACCTGGACCAAAGCCGTTTGCGTTAGCCCGCATTTTGTCCATTTTTTGGCTGGCATTTAAAGTCCGTTCAATTACCGCGGAACAAGTTTGACAGGGGCAACAAAAATAAAAGAAAACGCCAGATCTAAATATATATAGTTTTATATATAAATTTTAAGCCAAAGAAGCAAATTTAAAAACTCTGTCTGGCGGGAATTTACACAAATTTTATGCATTCCTTTTAACCCTTTAATGCCCATTATGCAGGCAGTGAAGCAGCTAACACTTATTGGATTAGCAAATATGTGCCGCTCTCGATTTGCTTTTAGTGGCTCCGTTTTATGTTTTCATCATGGGGGACTAAAGGATTTTCGCCATTAACTTTTCCTCGCCAGCTTTCCGGGACATTAGGCAGCCATTATTTGGCTAATTTTGCATCTTTCGGCCATATAATTTACACCAAATAACACACGACTGCACACACATAGCCACAAATACCTTAAACATGGCCAGTTGTAAGTGCTGCGTGACTGCTACTAAAATATTCGCACAACACTCATCCGCCATGTGGCCGTGGGTCTGTTTTGGGCCTTGCGAGTTGTCCAATCAATGATTTGGAAATGCATTACACAACATTAATTTTACGCTTCGATCCCTTCTTTCTTAACCTATCTTTAATATTTTTATATTTTTTGTTTATGGGGATTTCGACTTATACCTTTAATTGAGTTAATACAGAAATATAGAAGTTTATAAATCAATTTTTATAACAGAGTAACATCGAATAATTAAAAATAAATATTTAAAAAATATATTGTACCTTATTTTTCTATAAGATTATAATTGTCTGTGAAAGTGGAAACTCTTTTAAAATCAACATAATCCCATCATCTTCCATTTGTGGTATAACTGGGATTTTTGTCCATTTTTAATCGGACTGTTGGCTACTCACTTCTCCGAGTTCCTGTATTTGCATTTGCATTTTCACAACATACGCTACACAAATAAAATATGCAAGCAGCAAATTTGTAGCCAGACACAGTCAATAGCACAAATTTATTGTCAATTTTTGGGATTTAGCCTGCTGGCTCCTGCTCCTGCTCCTGCTCGTATTCGAGCCTTGGCAAGAGTTTGATTGTGCAAAATTGCAAATCAAACATGACTAAGGGACCCACTCGATTCCAGGGAGGAATTGGGCGGTCTGTTTACAAATGGCAAAGGAGCGGCAACAAAATGGTTCGAATATTTTACTGATGGAGATATGGGAGTGTTGCATTTTCCGGTTTGCTGTTCCTTTTTGTTGTTAACGCTGCACATCTGTTGCTAGCAGGTTTTCGATATCGCAAAGCTTTAAACGAGAATTTTCTGTACATATTTACATATTACATGACATAACTGTTAATTTGGTCATAACTATTTGTATAAATGTACATTTAAAGGACTTCAAAATAACAATAATATCCTTATTTTCTACATAAATCGAAATAATTGCAAAGTCATAATAAGTATTTAGAAATTCAGTTAAGTTCTTCAACTCGACAGCACTTTATTATCCTGCCTCATGATTTCCTTTCTTGTTAAAATACTTGTCTTTCGTTGAGTGGAAATGACCAAATGTTAAGCTGCTTATGAACCGCAGATAAATTTGCATACCTAAGTCGTGCACATGTGCACATTTACGTCGAGATGCATTTCGGATATTTATTTCAGAGTTCAAGGAACTAGAGCTTTAAATTTGAACTTTTTCACGTTCTGACCATTACAGCTATTTGTCTACTAATTTTCCAACCACTCTCACAGTAGCAGAAGCATTTTGCAGATACAGATACACCCCGGGCCCTAAGAAGTATGCTATGGTTTGCTTAGCTCAACCACAAATTTTGCGTGGTGTATGCGGAGATAAATGAGCGTGTTTTAGTTGCATTTCCTCTCCTCTATTTCCCCCAGAAAGAAAAAAAAAAAACAAAATAAAATAAAATATATGCAAATAAACATAAATAACGTGAAAAGAAGGAAACCACAAGCAGACATAACTAACAGTGAAAAGTGAGTGCGGAATAAAAATGAAATGAATGCTGGGCCACAACTAATGCATGTCATGGTGTGTGTGAGTGTCCTGGATGCACCAGTATGCGTGCATATGCTTATATTTATGCTTCTCTACAGCCTTACCCCACATATATATGCATGTTCATGGCGAAATAAATATGTTTGTGCGCTCCTCATTGTTGCAAATTTTGTTTCCTTTCCCGCATTTATTTCCGCTTTTGGGGAGTTGAGTTTGATTAGCTGGGCGTGAAAGCAAAATATGTGTATTGGAAAATATTTTTGTATTTTCTCATCTATTTGGGTGCTTATTTGGGAAAAATAAATACAACAAAATAAAAATATTCCTGAACCTAATGAGAAAAAAACATAGATAGATAGAAAACATAAAATAGATGAATACATGTAAGAGAAGATATTGTGCTAACTATATATTCATATCACCTAACCACGTCATCAAACATGTCTGTTAAAACAGGTCATAAGAAAATCTTAAAATCCCTGGTTACCAAATTGGTATGTCAGAAACACCCACTCTTGCCTGCTTTTAATATCATTCAAATTCTATTTTATGTCGTTTTATTACATTTCCGTGTGCTTGGAGTTGACAACGTTTTCTGTCCTCAAGTCCTTGAAACATCATTCTTCGGATGCAGTGCCACATCCGGTGTGTCCTTTTCCGCATCCTAGTCTCTTCAATGGACCGAATTTTTCCTTGGCATGTGTTTTGCATTTTCTGCGGTTGTCTTTGGTCATGTATGCGTACGAGTGTGTCTGCATGTGTATTTGTGATTTTGTGTTTGCACACATTAACACTTTATTGTTGCTGTTCTCGCATGCACACCAAAAACTTAACGAAGCAAAATATTTTTTAGCTCTTGCATCTCCATTTTTTTGTGTTAAATTGTATGCCAATTTCTTGTCTCCTCTCACTTGGCGCTTAATATTCGGATTCTTGGTTTTGCATTCTGGCATTGCATATGTAATTGTACACTTTCGGAGCAAAAGCAACAAAGAAGCCGCTTGTTTAACAGCTAATATTTGTGCGCCAAAGGGGAGGCGGTGGGTGTTCTGTGAGTGGCCTCAGAACTGTTATCTCTGCTTTGGTGGCAACTTTGGTTTTAGCTGCATATCCAGCATGACGATCAGACGCGTATTCAGGGGGATTAAGTTCTAAAGGACTTAGAAATGAATATCAGACTCTTTTGCTTAGTTTTTATTATTTAATTATATTATTATAACATTAAAAAGATAGAAAAAATTAAGGAAATTATCTATTAATTGATTTAATATTTAAGGAGAAACGTGAAGTTTGGACACACCCCTCTTACTTGGCTTAATAATCTGTATTATTTTTATAGCACAGCCAAAAATCAAATTATTATTAATATTATATTTCAGACTGCAAGTCCCTCTCAAAAAATATCCCCGCCCCTGATGTGGGGAGCATGTAAATTTGCTGTCGACATCGACATTGACAACTTTGTTGCCTTGTTGCTTGGGTACAATTTCTTTCTGCTGTTGCCGCTTGTTTGGCTTGTGGTTGTTGTACGGCTGTGGCCTTCAACCCCCAACTTCCGCCCAACATCAGCTGTCTGCCTTTAACGTGCCAATCTCAAGTCCCCGTCT